TAATTATTGCAAAAAATATATATAATATTTCAAAAAAATGCATTCGTTCCATCATGAAAGCTTATTAATGTACTGAACGGCAAATCAAACATTGGAGAAGCACTAAGTGCAAAAACAACTGCACGGCGACCATTATCTCAGATAAATAAAGGTGAAACTTGTAAAAGTTCTCAGATCTATACCGAACAAATAATTTTTAGAATGGCTGTATCATGCAAGGTGAAACCGTTCCTTCCGGATGTATTATCCTTTTGCTAAAAAAAAAAAAAATCCCAACGTTATGCATGTTCTCTGTTTTCATTACTAATATTGTTATCAATGCTTCATGATTTGTTTGAAATTAAGAGTACAGGATCAAACAAATACAAACATATTAAGATTGCAAATGAGTGCATATATGTACAAGCAGTTCTTTATGTTTTTTGTCGGGTTTGTGGTTCTGCAAATCGGATTTAGTAATTACACAAATGTTGATGAAAGCAAAGAATATAATGCAATGTACATTTTATAAAATCAATATCTTTTTCAGCGTCCGGTATGTAGGAATGAAATCTTAATTTAAGTATTTTTTAGGTTATAGATTAAATCGTCTTAAAAAATCTCTGCTCTTTCAAAACGGCAATGAATAAATATATAGACATCAATCTCAAATAGTGCTCTTGCTATATAAATTTTTTGTGTGAGGGATGCGTTATTTTTGTGGTCGTTGCAATTAATTTGAAATGGTTGTTCCTAAATTTCTTTTTCAGTATTCTCATTTTCTACAAAATGGATTACTTAAAGTGAGACATAGTTAATTGGATAAATATTTGTTTTTACAAATCTAACCCTCATTGAAAAAAAAAATCTGCCAAAATGAAAGATTATAAAGATGCCGGCATATCCCATAAATGGTTTCAAACTATGCCCAGCCATTCTCTTATTTTATTTAATGATTCCTTCGTTTTCTCAATTTACACTATTTTTTTCAATTGGATTGGAGATCAGTACGCTAGAAGCTTTACCAAATGACAAACATTTCAATTTTTATAACCTTTGCACCGCACAAAAACATTTAATTAAAACAAATAGATTATAATACAAATTAAGAAAAAATAACAGTTCTTGCAAGCATAGACTTCATCAACATTTAAAATTGGACCAAAGTTTGATATTTCTAACAGGATAAATTTTAAATTCAATCGTTCTGCTGAGGGATGTATAGTTTGTTTCCATTATGTTTTAGATAAGTTTTACTTTTGAGCTATGTCTACAAATCAAGGCAACGTTCGCCATCGATTCCAATGCAAAGAGCAATATATGGTATGTGTCTCAAATGGCCCCTAAAATAAATATCTTACTTTTAATTTATTCATAGCTTTACTTTGCAAAGCTATACATGCAAAGTTTATTGTTAATTTTCAATTTGATCAAAATACCGTTTATATAGAAATATGAAATTATAAAGTTCATGTTTTCCCGCAATTTTAGCATTTTTTTTATAAAACTGCTTATTTTCAAGCAGTTTTTCTTCCAGAAAATATTGAGCGCAAACTAGAACATATTTTTAATTTTTTTTTTACCAAAGATGTATCCTATTTTGCCTACCTGAAGATACATGAAGTACAAAACATGATTTACATGTTCTTTGCAATGACCAAAAGCTCTATGTTTCCCAATAAAAAAAAAAAGTCAAAATGCAGAAAACTCCGTATTTTTGCCTTTTCGGTTAGATATATAAAAAAAATGTTATTTCTGTCATCATTTACAGCCAGTGAGTACATATAAATGTGAACAATATATCGGAAATATATCTAATATAATATCCTCTACATAATAAATATCAATTAAACATATCTTAATGTCATTCTAAAATGCTGATTTTAAGGGGGCCAAAATTGGCTCTTAACATATATAGTCCTTTCAGCACTTCTGTTTTGCAGAGGACAAACGCACACAAAAGCTAACACACACACATGCGCACGGATTACTATATCTAAAGCACATTTCAATACCTCTTCCAACTCATTTGCAAGTAGATAATAAAAGATTAAGCAATTAGACAAGGTAATAGCAATTACAATATAAAGGCAAAAGAAAATACCTTCTCAAAAACTAGCAATTAATTAAAGAATATATGTAAATGGTATCAATTTAACTCATGGTCTTTAAGTGTTTCCGCTTCTAGTTCTATTTCAGAAACACTATTCTCTTTATATTCTAGGAGTGTATTTTTGAAACACTTGATATAGAATGTCGTAACACAACCGTGAAATCAACATGCATTTGCAAGAAACATTGATTTTCCAACGTTTTCTAAGCAATACATGTTCAAAACTACAATAGCTTGAATTAGGAATCAAATTTATTTTATTGAATGCAAAGCAATAAAAAAAGTTGGTTATGTGTTTTTTCTTTTCCAATAATGAAGTATTATAAAAAATTCTTTAACTTCAAAACAATGGCATTGATGGTAATTTCGTAATGTAATTTTTTTCACGTGATGAAATTGATCTTTCTAATTCTAGATAGTAGTGGATTAATAGCCAAAAAACGGTCATTGATAAATGAGGTTATCCAATCTCCTTTTAATACTTAATATTACACAAAATCTTAAGACACTAGAGTTTTTCGTCTCTTTTTAAGGAAACAGAAATAGACTTTTGTATTGGTCAAAATTATTTCCTGTTATAAAATATTTATAATTGATTGATTGATTGAATGCCTGTTGTTTGACGTCCTATTTGTTAACTTATTATTCATATAGAGACGTCACCGTTATATCAGTGAAGGGCTAAATATTTAGACCTTTACTCGGAACTCAGGGCCATTGAACACTGATGGTTCTTTATCGTGCCCACGCCTGTCATGAAAGAGGGCCTCGGTTTTTTGATGTCTTATCCGAAAGACCAACAACTTCCCCTCCAAAGTGCCGGGCAAAGAAACAGTTGATTCTTATCTTTCATCGACTTAGATCAGTCGAGGCCGAAGTTGAAAACCCAAGACCTTCCAAGCACGAAGCTCTACCATCTGAAGCTGTATTAGTACTGTGATATTATACAATTGACTCAATTCAAATGAATTTTCAATTCTGTTCAAATAAAAAAGAGAAAACAAGGCAATGCTCAATGACGCGAAGGACTATTAAATTTTGTGTTAAATTTAAATGACAAGAGAAAAAAACATCCCTTTCCGAAAAAATTTATATAAGTGCATTGCATGAACTATTGTTTTATGAGCCTAAAGGGAATTATTTTGTTCTTCCAAAGCAAAGCATCACGTGAAAACAAAGCTCAATAAATAAAAATAAGTACCTTTGTTTATAAAGAATATTTACGAGATAGGAAATGTCACTGTTGAATTATTAAATAGTCATTATAAATGTTGCCAAAGGGATAGGTACATTGAATCCGTATAATATTTTCGGCAACCTAAATATTTCATATATTTTTTATTTTTTACCGATTTACACACAAAAAATGTTGTTTTTTTTTTTTCAAAAAAACTTACAAGGTCACGCACGTGGAAAATGCACGAAGGCAATGCATTGTATTGTCAAAAGTACGGAGGAGGGGAAGCCAACTAAACAAAGTATAACTAATCAAAAAAATCGATAAGGAAAAGTTTCTAAAGAAAAAAACCGTTCACGGTAGCTCAGTCGGTAGAGCGCTCGCTACGTGATCGGGAGGTCGTGAGTTCGTATCTCGGCCGCGACTGACCCAGTCGATAAAATGGTTAGCAACTGTTCCTTCGCCATGCGCTCGGCAATTTGAAGTGAAAGTTGCGGGTCTCATTCTCGAATGAGACCTTAAAAACCGAGGCCCCGTGTCAACGGCAGGCGTTGGCACGATAAAGATCCCTCACTGCTCAATGGCCCTGAGTGCCGAGTAAAGGTCAAAATTTGAAAAATTCTCGAGAGAGACGTTAAACAATATACAATCAATCAATCAATCAATCAATCAATCTAAAGAAAAAAAGAAAATCGTGACCTATTTGCAAAAAAAGAGGAAAAAACACTTCAAAATCAATTACAGACTCATATTATATATTCAACTTTAAATTTGAATGAGTACTGTTTATATAAATATGGCAGCAACCAAACGTATGATTTGAAAATAATTCCATAAAAATAGAGTATGCCTACTGCCCAATCTCATGCAAATTTTTGCGAATAAAAATATAAATTACTAGAAATGAAAAGTCATCTGGATTTACTTTATTTTGTGATTTTTAAACAAACACATGATACATTTAATTTGAAAGAATAAAACATATGTCTTTTTTTTTTATTTTTTAATAAAACGCCTTTGATAATTAAAAAAAAGATAAAGTTAATTCAAGGCAAACTTATTTCTTGGCAAATTATACAATACTTATGAAATACGAAAAAAACAACCATCCTATCTAATTTGTGTTTGAATCGATGAGTAATATTTGTGTGCTTTTTTTTTTTTTTGGTTAAACAAACGTGCAATGGAAGAGACGCCCTTTTTCCATTAAAATTTCTATTCAATTTGAATGTCAAGAACTAAGTTTAATATTGATTTTTCTAGAACTCTAAAATCTATGCGATGCATTAATAGATGTTGACAAAATGAGAACTATTAGTCAGTTAAGGTACACGTAGAACTTTAATATAATTTTTTCTATAGATCATATTTTTCTAAACAAATATATTAAATAGCTTAGCTTGTGTACATTATCTTTAATAACATTCGCAAGTAAAAGCAAAGCAAATTATATTTCGAATGGAATACCGAATTTCCTTTAGCTAAAGAAAAAAAAATATTTGTCAAAGTTCTTTTCGGTTATTGTAACTATTTCAATTTGAAGCATCGTTATTCTTTAATTTAAATATTTTATTATTTAACGAAACATTACACTCAATTAGAGTTGAAACTTTAGCAACTATTCATTGTGTGACAAATAACTAATTAACACAACAACATTTCATTGATTATCCGTAAGTAATGCATTTTATATTACATTACAAACCATTCTCAATCAGACTATCGGCCATGTTGAAAGCTGCTCGCTCATGTGAAAATTCACAGACGTATACGGACGAGACCTAAATGGGAATTATTTGAAATATCGACACTCGATGCATGAAATGGTGTTCATTCTTATGTTTCTGACGGCACCGACAAGCAAATCAAATATTAAAACTCATGATCAGTTACCGTACCAATCTCCATCCTAGAGTGTGTCTTAATGTTAAGGATGGGAAAAACTGTCTTCTTAGAAAATACATCTTTGTTTAAAGAAAGACTTGTTCATTTTCCATAATGTTTTATTTTGTTGCCGTCAAAGCTAATAAGAAAAGGTAAGAAAGATTATTTTGTTTATATCATGTTTCATTTTGATTTAATAATTCAAATTCCTACGAAAAAATGAATGAAATAATAGTAAGCAGAAATCACATTTGACATGCATTCAAAAAATTATCGTAGCACAATTAAGCGGTTAAAAAACCCGGGTTATCCGAAAAGGTTCACTGTTTACTAAGCAAAATTAGTAAATATTTACATTTGCAAATGTTTTATCAAACTATTTGTATGCATTTGAAAAATGCGTTTTTACACCTGTGTAAAAATGGTTCATCGAGTGACCATACCTTGATTGTTAATTAGCCAAAACAATTAAGTAAACGTAATTTCATAGTGACATCATATAAGTGATCGACGTATTCAATACATTCAATTTATATCGTTTGTGTTTGAAAAAAAATCATTTGATGGGTTTAAATTTACAGTACCCAACTATTTTTAATAGATCATTCTCAAATTTAAATATAAATAATAAGATATCATTTTAAAACTTTTATCGGGGTATAAAGACAGGTTGGGATGTGGTAAAATCTACCATAAAGGCCGAAAAGTCTTACGGGATTTGATCACATGACTAATCCGTATATATACATCCCGATTAAAGTATGAAAATAATACATATTTGTTTTTGTAAATAAAAATACCCTCAGTAAACAAATTATTTTTTATGTTTAAAAATATATTTTAAAAAAACTTTCAAAATATTTCTTCTAATTATTGTATAAATTAAAAAAACATACACATGTACTTAACACAATTTAAAAAAGAAAGATTTTGGTCATGTGATGAAATACTGGCTTCTGAGACAAGCAAATGACGTTTAAGATCACTTCTTTAACCGTTAAGTTTTCAGCTTTTGACTTTTTTCTTTGGTTAATACTAAGAACTTACACAAAAAGTTACAAATGTAACAGTAGTCAATAAAAATCGTCCTAATAGCCCGAAACAGAACAATGCAAGATGCACATAGGTTTGTGAAGTTGTTTACGCTTTGAAGTTTGAGGAATTAATAAATTAGTCGTCTATTGTAGAAGAATTCGTTAAGTTTTAATAATCAATATTGATGAGAATTTTGCTGAGTGACTGAGTTTGGTCCCTCGGGTATCGGGATCCAGTAAACAAAAAGGCAAAATGCACATGAAATTACAAGACCAAACAAATGGAGAACTTTTACTGATAAAGGTATGTTAAAAAATAACTAATGAGGAGATAAGTTAACAACACACCTTTTTGATAAACGTACCGAAACATCCATAACTTAAGCAGCAATATACACATCATGTGCATATGGGGTTAATGTCTCTCAATTGATATGTTATGCAAGAAGATGCTCTAGCTACGAACAATTACGGAAATGGAGCAGCAAGCTTTTAACAAACAATTTTGTTAATTAACAGGGATATCAAGAGTTTTGGTCTTTGCAATGACTTTGCAAGCAAACTATCATTCAGTCAAATGCTTACTGACTTTTTTGATATAAAAATGTAATTGTAGGCCATTTATTAAACATAAATTGTCTTCCAGTTTTTCTGAACGGACAAGGAGAGCATGTGACCAATAAAGGGAAGGATGCTCACTCCTCCATGGCAAAATTTCTTATCTCAAGTGCTTTTGGAAGGTCCGTGTTTTTTCTGCAATATTGTATTGTTTTTTTTTTTTTTTGGCTTACTGGTAAATACTGTTTGTTATCTCAATAACTCCTAAATGCAAAATGCTTTTTTTCACTTAGAGCTATTCATATCTAGGCTTCAAATGAATCCTGTAGCTTTTAACTAAAACACAAATTAAGGTCACGTTTTTCATCAAAAAGCAGGTAGAGGTCACAACAGATTTAAAGTTGCATCTGTAATTTTGCCGGATCAAAATAGAACGCAAATGAAATTTTGGCATTTAATTCATTTTGCATTTGATGAAATCTACATGAACTTAACGAGAATCCCTTTGTCAACTGACTTTTCAGATGACTTTTTTTTTTGGTCTAAAAACTTACACAAAAAAAGTATGTAGTACAATTCTGGTGTTAGCCCGAAACAGAACAATGCAAGATGCACATAGGTTTGTGAAGTTGTTAACCAAGTTTGAGGAATTGAATCTATTGAGCAAAATTCAATATTGATCTTTCATCGGGATTTTCAAAAAGTAAAATTAATATTACAAACCAAACATTCTGTATAAAGGTATGTCAAAAAATAACTATGACTGAGGCTATAAAAGCAACAACATTTTGTGTTTTTTTAAACAACAATATACACATCATTTATAATGTCTCTTATAAATGTTATGCAAAATTTTCTTACAACAATTTTGAAATTATTAAAATTGTTTTGTTCAGGGATATCAAGACAGAGTCTAAATTTTCAGACGGATAACTATCATTCATAAATGTTAAACATAATTGATGAATTAGTTAAACATAGAATTGTCTTCCTCGTTTTTTCTGATGATGACAAGGAGCACACAGCTACCGGTAGGGAGAGGATGCTCACTCCTCCATGGCACCTGATCCCGTCTCAAGTGCTTTTGGAGCTCTGTGTTCGTTCTGCTTCCATATTATATTTTTTTAGGCTTTGAGCTTAAATATTGTTCGTTATCTCAATAATTCCTAAATGCAAAATGCTTTTTTTCACTTAGAGCTATTCATATCTAGGCTTCAAATAAATCCTGTAGTTTTGAACTTAAACACAAGAAAAGGTCACGTCTTTCATCAAAAAGAAGGTAGAGGTCACATAGGCATCTGGCGAATTTTGTACCGGATGAAAATGAACTCGGCATTCAATTAATTTGGCATATTGACATCAGAAACTGATGAACTTATTTACTATTTTTACCCTCCATCAACTGCTTTTTGATGTTGTATTTTTCTATGTTCCAAAGAACACAGAGTATACAGGGGCTTTACAATTCTGGAAATATCAACCGAGCAGTTTCAATATCTATGAGTCCAATCTTCTAGAACTACGAGCAGCTCCTAATCTCTCTCATATTTTCAAATAATGTAACAATCTGCATTATAAAATACACGTGGATGTATATAACTTATAATAAATAGAAGTAAATTATATTCCAGAGTACATATAATGACCATAAAGATTTTATTTTGTTATTTAATCGTGAATTAAAGAAAAGGAATGATAAAATGGATAAGACATACATTTTTAGAATACCTTGTAATATGTATCTTGGTTTGTTCCTGGAAAATAGCCATTTACAAAATTATAAAATATCTAGTGCACAAGACTTCCAATTCTTGGATTCAATTCAATTTTATACGTTTCAGTATCCTGTATTCAATTATACTAGCTAGAAACCCCCTGAATCTGTAGTATTTTTTAAACAGGCTGAGTGATCTGCCTGTAGATCTTAAATAAAAATTCATAGAAATTTGTTAAAAGTAAAATATATAATTAAAATCAATTTGAACAATTTTAAAAATATTTTTTCATTATCCATGATAGATAAATAAGCACTATTTGGTATGCATTTTTTAATCCACTAATACACTATTTTGTAATTTGAAAATACACGTATCGAAATGAAGAAATGTTGAATAATCTCTAGACCCTCTCTACACGCTAAATCAATGCAAAATTTTATAGGAATTGTAAATATTGAATTTACTAACTAGTATCTGTTTCATTTTCAACATTTCATTCCTGATATTTAATCCCAGGAACTAGTTCGAAAACAATAAAGTATGTTCGATTAGAAATCATAGTTGTTTAAACAAATCTTTCGAGCTATCCTTATTTTTTTTAAAGATAATATTTCTGTATCTACATGTATGCAAGATTTTCCATTAATATTTGAAAACAAGCATTCGTGTATCCGGTGTATAAAGGTAGTTTTAAAATATTCATAATTTTGATGGTATTTGTTATTTCTATTGAATTATTGCATTTTGCTAACATTAAACAGAAATAAAATTTAATCCTGAATAATTTATAACGAGCAACTTAACAAGCCTACAAAAAAGATTTCTTGGTAACAATTATTGGATTGGAGATGTTGTCAAGTGATCAATCATAGCGCTTCAATATTTATAAAAACGATAAGAGCATGACAAGTGGGATGAATATTAAATTATATTACTTTATTTCAGATTGTCCGGGTTAAAATGGTATAACAACGATATTAATGCTATGTCTATCAATACCAAACACAGCCTATAAAGTAAGTACACATTTTATGTACTACAGACTTTGGACGAAAGATACAAAAATATTACTTTCAATATTGTGACGAGGAATTTGAAAATTGGAGCTTTTACGCTCCATTGATGTACATGTTATATAGAATAATTTTAAATTAGTAGATAGGACAAAGGACGAGATAAGAATATGATATCTTTTTTATAAAACGTAGAAATACCGAAGTAAGGTGGTAATACAAAGCTAGAAATAATCAGTTATTCTGGGTTTTTTTCTCCTAAAGTTACATGAATATTTTAAGATTACATTAGCGTATTAGTTCCGAATTGATAATAACTTTAGAGGTGATAATTGCAACTTTAAAGTAGTGTTTTCCAATTATTTCGTCTTTTCTAACTATTCATTTGACTTTTATTTGTAATGTTTGCTTTACAAAATTTTGTTATTTCATTTAAAACCTTTAAAGTTTGGCGACTTTTAAAAGTATTTTTCAGTATTTTATATATATTGAAGTAATGAATAGTGATATTGAGAAATCCAAAGCAAAAATTAGTGATAGGTCCCTCAGTTTAGATCAGGTGCCTAGGTTGATTTACATGCAAACCCTCTCTACACTGCAAAAATTTCTGATTTTAAACCTGACTATGGTATTTTTTGCAGTTAGAGTGATCTGCCCTTAGATCTAAATTCTTAAAATTATGGGACAATTTGTAATCAATTCAGGTATTCTTAACATTTTAAAAGGCCAAGATGAATTAACTGAACATGTTATTTACATGTATTTTCTCTATGGAAGTGAACAACAGTGATTTCTATTCACTGATACTGTGCTGTGTTTGATTATTTTTCCTGGTGGTAAATGCTACGCACCATATGTTGAAAATCATATAAATAAGCTCAATACTAACACCTTTATAGAATATATTTTTCTCAATATCCAAAAAACATTTTGTACTGGTGTAGAGAGGGTCATTAAGCATCCCAGTCATATATCCCTATGCAAGTACGGGGTGGCAGTACTCTGCAGTAAAAGTTAGTATCAAAGCAACACCTCAACTCTTAGTGAAAAAGATACGTATATTTTTCTGTGTACATTATTACATCCGGTGAATAGTTGTTTTATTGTGAAACCATTTTGCTGTTATTTGAAACATTCCTCTCAAACAAGATAAATTCGATTCTTAAAAAAACCCAATATGTTACTCTTCATACAATATGGGTGTTATAAAAAATCAGCTGTGTTACAGCAATTCAACAGTGTGAGTAAGAATCGAATTAAAAAAAATAGTACAAACTTTATATGAATACTGTACAATAGTACACATACAAAATACAAAAATATATATAATTTCAATTTTAATTTTGTGAATGTTTAAAGGCATACTTTGCTTCTTGTGCAGGTATAAGTCTATGGGGACAAAGCAGAGAAGGTTACCTTCAAAGAAGTATACATGTACATTGAGATTAAATCGAATTGCTTGCGCAAATAGCTTTGTTGTTCACAATAATTCCACAATGCTTGAAATTGCAATAAATTAACGCAATGACATAGCTAATTGCACATCCCCGTCATTTTCATAAAGATGCACTTAGCAAAACATTTTAATCGATTACAGTTATTTGTTTAGTCAGATCTCCAATTCACATTAAAGAATTGGAAACCTTGACATAAATCAATAAAGCATAAATTAGAAAAATATAACTTGAGCACTTCAAAAATTTAAAAGAGTTCAAGTTTATAAGAATCCTTTTTTTAAAAATTAAATTTATAGTTAGTTATTAATATAATTTCAAATTTAGGCATTTTGGGAACATTATGATTTACATGCATAAAGGACATAAATTTCCGAGCATAAAACAAAAATGCTCTATATCTTCTTAAACTCAATTGTATATAAAAAATATATCATATAGCTAAATGTACCATTAAAATTCACCAAATAAAATATCCTCGTTAAGCGCATTATACTGAAGTGTTGTACACATATTATTGACAAGTTTATTATCATATACTAGTATACATAGACGTTTAACAGTAAACCGTGTGTGTATTAAATTCTACGCAAATATTGTTATGAGAATATCGCTCATCGCCAAATAAATTGTATCAATTGTTACCTTCTTTGAAGTTGGAGTGCGTGGTTTCTTCATTTAGATCTAGTAATGGTGTTTCTTCACATTCAGCTACTAGTAATTTACATGAAAACGTAATAATGTAACTATGCACTATTGCATCCTATAGAATTCATTGATATCTAAGTGTGTAGAATAAATAAAATAATCCTAGGGGATTACATTTGCAATCTATACCAAGAATATTGTACTTTTATTCAGAAAGGATGATTTCCGTTTTCATATAATATACTTTCCATCAAAATTCAGTTTGAAAGCCCGATAGAAACCTTTAAAATTCAATTAGTTCTAAGAAGAGTTGAAAGAATGTAACATAAATCATTTTAGAATTTCAAAATCATGGCACCAAAATCAGGTACACATCAAGTTTTTATTTAAATTATGATGTCATTGTTTTGTGAAGAATAAACTCCTTAAAGATAACAAACAGTGGCCAACCTTAAAAATCCTAAAGCAGAAATGGAATCGTGAATAGGACAAATAACCCGAACCCCTGCAGACACTTAAGGCGGGATCAGGTGCCAAGGAGGAGTAAGAATCTTTTATCAAAATATATGGAGATAACGAACAGTAGCTCAAAAGTCTATAAAACAATACAGAATAGCAGCAGAGCAAATACGAACCTCAAAAACATCAGAAGTGGGATCAGGTGCTATGGAGGAGTGATCATCCCCTGCCGACCGGCCACGCCCACCGTGTGCTCCTTGTCATGATCGGGAAATAACGGAAAAATCCGTCGTCAATTCAGTGTGTAGAGAATGGCCTAAAAACTAGTAAAAACGTCATGTCAGTCAGCATTTGACTCAATGATAAATTGTATTTGCTGACAAGGCCATTGTATCGACCATAGAACTTACAAAGAGAAGTAAGAATATTTTAACGACTGAACACATCTGTTGTAAGTCCTCTGTATTCTTCCAGAAGAAGGAATAGTCTGTTGTCATACTTGGTATAAAACAAAGACATACGAACACAGTTTGATGTTGTGAAACAATCACTTATCATTACCACTAAAGAAATTCACCATTGCTCTCTCATCTGGGTATTCTGTATTCAACGCCACATTTTTGAGAGAAAATGTGTCCATAAACTTATTTTCATCTGACGAGTCTTTTTCTTGGTTTATTTTTAAGGTTCATGAGGTTTTTTTTAGCTCATTCATGTTGCTTTTATGCATATGAATTAAATAAATAAATTTTTATTTTAAATTGAAAACTTTAATAAGGTAGAAGATGCGGTGCAGTTTAGACCAAAAATATTTCGACGTGCCAAATATATAACGGAATAATAGACAATGACCACGTGAAAAATTATCTCTCTAATCAATATAACATTGAATCTTAAAATGTTTTATAAGAAGTATTATAAAAAAGCTGCATTCTTTAAAAACTTTTGTTACTTAAATGTTAAATCTCCATGTTTAAACATAAATTTATTAAATTCTTTCAGATGATGTATCAGTACTTTGTGTGGCTTTCCATACTTACGTTTGGTCCTATCCCTCTTTTCAGTTTACAAGGTGAGTCTTTTACGAACATAATGTATTTTTTTAAAAAATATTCCTTTCTTTGTTGTGTTTCTAAAAAAACAATGAATTAGACATTACATTTTTTTCGGCATTTATACAAACAAAGCAAATATTTTAAAATATCAGCTAAAAATAAACCTGTTTTCTACATTAATCAAACAAATAAGATAGGGGGAGGTATGATTTAAACAAATGACTCCTCCTTAATGTCCCTGTTAGATTTATCAATCTTTGTTTATGTTTATACATGAATTTATTGTTTGTTGATTACATATGAGATCAGTCACTGTTCGTTAACGTCATCTTTTCATATCATTGATAAAGTAGATTAAATTATTTTCAAACTTAAATATTGTTTTAAGGGGAAAGATGATCATGAATGACAATAAAAGAGTATGACCAAATTTGTTTAATTGTAGGACTTTCACAGCGAAAGGAGATTCATTTTTCCTTCCCTTGCAGAGAGAAATATCTTTAAATTGATTTTCAATGTTTACAGAACTAAATTAAATGTCAACAAATGATCAAGTAGATAATAAATTATAAAGGAGAATGAAGTTATAAGTGAATTAGATTTATCAGGGGGTCTTTGTTTATACCCCGTTTACAGAATTGTATTGTTTGTGGATTTACAAGATCAGTCACTGTTCGTTAACTTCATCTTTTCCGTTAATTAATAAATTAGATTAAATTATTTTCAAACTTAAATATTGCGTTAAGGGAAAGATGATCATGAATGACAATAAAAGAGTGTGACGAAATTTACTTAACTGTAGGACTTCCACATTGAAAGGAGATTCCTTTTCCTTCTCATGCAGAGAGAAATATCTTTAAATTGATTTTCAATGTTTACAGAACTAAATTAAATGTCAACAAATGATCAAGCAGATAATAAATTATAAAGAAGAATAAAAGTTATAAGTGAATTAACGATTATTTATGATAGTTATCCGATCTTGGATTCACTGACGTAAAGTTGATTGAAATTCAATACAAATTCAATAGTTATCGAGAAACCTAACCCAAATCCTCAAAATAAGGATTCCACAAATATATGGTCTTCCTTTTATAATTACTAAAGATGTACAAAAATACTAACACAAAACGCATATTCATTATAAAATGTCTTTAAGTCTGTAAAGTATTAAATTTTAAATATCTTAAATAAAAATACCATGATAATATACATAAATGTACTTCTATAATACGATTAGTTGTAAATTGACTTTTAGGATCTCTAATGTAGTCTAAATACATTGTATTCAACTACAAGTCTATGTATTATTTGCTTCACAGTTGCTTGTCAATTAAAAAATCCGTAAAATAGAAGCAAATAACAGTGTCTGAAAAAAAAATCATAGGACAATCATAATAGCCTTTTAACTTTTTAACATTGAAAACACCATACAATTATGGCAGACAATATTAGAATAGGCAATATAAGAATATCAGTGATGTAAAATATTGATAGAAATGCAAATTAAAAAAATTAATGCTAATATGTTATTCCTATTTACACACAGATAAAGAAATGAGCAATTTTCGCCATTGATATTCTTTAAAACATTAATTTGTTGTAATGGATAACCAGCACATTATTATAACATTCTATTTACATAATAGAATACGGAGAAGTGTTAATAGTCAAAACTGCTTGGTTCATGTATCAAAGAATATTACAGGCACGTAGCAAATTTTTTCCAAACATAACTTTTACTACTGAAAATGTTCATTGAAGGTCTCGTTGCCACCACCCCCCCTTTTTGTTACAGTAAAGTACAGATGCTACATGTACGTTACTGTATTAAATTGCATTTTACTATTTTGCCTAAGATATGTAATACTCTATACTGTATTTGAGTCCCCCTTTTCTGGCCTCCATTTTGTTAACTATGTTTTACTTCTTTCGTCATTCACTTTATTGAATGACATATTTCACTTCTACATGATGTTATTTGTTTTTGCCTGCTTTAAGAAAAAGTTCAGTCGTTCGGCAGGAGAACTAGGGAACATAAACACGATAAAGGAAAATTAAATTGCATAAAACGAGTATCATGAAATACTAATAAATACGGTGTACCACTTTGCTTTAGAGATTTTTAGGGAATGTTTGATATTTATTACGAAACCTATAACTTGTTTAATTGTTTGCCAGATTGCATAAATCGATCACAGCATTTATGTAAAAAAATACTAAACTTTTATGCAAAACGGGTATCATAAAATATTAAAAATATGATTTAATACTTAGCTATAGAGATTTTTATATGGAATATTTAAAATGTATATCAACATCTATAATTTGTAAATTGTAATATAATCAGCATATCTTTTAACATGTGAAGCTAATAAAAAATATACTTATAATTAACCTTTCCTTTTGAATGACCGCTCGTATGTCGTGCAAGCATATAACCATTTCGAGGAGAAGTGCAAAAATAAAAGAGTATTTTGAATGCAGGGATCGTTATATAAATAAAAACACATTAGTTGTACATCAGGAGATCAAAGAAAAGTTTATTTATTGTTGGTGCTTACAAAATATCATTTACAAAAATAGTTGTTTTGTTTCAATATCATCATTGTTTTACGCAGCAAATAAATAAAAAAAAAGTCTGTTAATTCAATGACATTTTTTACCATTCAAAGCATCCGTGTAAACTATCCCAGTACCTTTCAAAAAAGTGTTTTAAAGGGAATAAAAGTCATAAAAGTGCGCATTTATGGACAAAAGACAATGTATTGAATTGAACATATTTTATTGACAAAGTCAAAAGGATGTGAACAAGAAAAATTTAGATATCCTCTCAATATAACTTTTGTTTGCCAAAAAAACATATAAACATATGTTTACTATTTACATTATATACATTGAAAATGAAAGGAATTTTCTTTAAATATACAAAAATAATTTTTTTGATATGGTGATTGAAAAAACATATTTTGAAAAACGATTTGTAAATATATTTAAAGAAAAAAATTCTTAAAAAGTTGACACATTTCATTCGAAAGTTTGAAAGGCTGCCCGGATAGCATTAAATGTACACTATAATATGTCAAATTTCTGACAATAGCTTATTCATTAACAATTTCTTTTTTACATAATGTTTACAAAAAAAACATATGATATGTATTTCTAGTAGAAATGTCTTTGTCAAGAAAATATTTGTAATTAGGTTCAGCGATATAAATTTTGCAGATAAATTTAAAATACAATTGTGTCTTAATCTTGAAATGAATATATGTTACAAAACCTTTTTCCACAGGAAAAATATTTCTGAGGTTTTACATTACTATTTTGAAGATATTTTTGAAATGTTAATTTCTCTGAAGTTCCCTCCCTTGTTTTTAGACTTTTTTTTTTGCAAAAATTCCACATTCTAACGGTATATAATAAATGATTTATTATATAATTCATATTCTGTATTTTGGCAAAGAATAATTTAATTTCTCGGATCCGGGTATGTATCCTGAAATATTGCACAAAGAAAGCTGTTGTATAGGTAAATTGTTTTTAATAAATTTTTTAATTATTGTGCATTTTATAATTGTTATTAAAATTTGCCCTAAAAAAAATGCAGCTATATTCCAGTGGTTCCAGCCTGTTTGTAATGAATTTCTTGTAGCAATAATTGTAAGCCCAGTAACTATTCTTGCAAATATAGTTGTACTTTTTCAAGATTCTCAATGTCTGTTTTTGTGCATCCAGACCAAACTTCAACAGCATATTCGAATTGTGGTCTTATAAAAGATATATACATCTGGGACATATCTTTGAACAGTAAATTTTAATTTTTTAAGAAGCCCCGATGTTTTGTATGCTTTTTAATAATGGTATCAATATGATCAAATGACCATCCTTTAGACGGCAGAAGTATTATCCCAAGATTTTGTGTTCATAACATTCCAAGTGCAATTTCGAAAAAATAAATTAGGAAAATGCTGTACATTTTTGAAATAAAAAATACTGCATTGGTTTTCTGTGGATTGAAAATTCAATAACCATTTCTTTGACCATTCATTAGTATTCTAAGATCATGGTTAAGTTTTGAAAATCAATATGATTTGGTTATCTGAACATTTTGTAAAGAATTATCATTTACAAATAGTTACAAACAAATTCATATTTTCATTTACATACAATAAAAATAATAAGGGACCAAATTACTGAGAATTAAAAATTGTCCTACATGAGGAAAAATGATTTCTATAACATCATGACTTTAGTTGAATTCTTTTGTTAGATAACTATCAAACCAATTAGCATATCAAATTAATTCCATTTGACATTTTTAATTTGTAAATTAAGCCTTTATGCCAACCCTATCAAATGCCTTTGATAAATCACATAACACCATACAACATGAATTTACCTTCAATCAACACGTTTTACTTTTTTTGGTATGTTTCTTTAATTGAATTGATATACTGTGGAATGATCTGGTAAAAAACTGCCTGGTTTTATAAAATATAGTATGTTTATACAAGAAATTGTCCCATTATTAAAAATTTTCATTCTTTCAAAAATTTTGCTTGTGATCAGCAAAGAAACTGGTCTATTTTGAAGTGATTTATTAAAAAGTTAAGAACATGTGCTTTTCCAGCAGTCTGGAAATGTTTTTAGTGATGGGATTTGTTGAATTTTGTATACCAAAGGTTCTGAGATAGTTTCTTTGCAAGATTTTAACATTTTATGGCTGATTGCAATCAATCTTTAGATTTATTGACAGGAATAATAGAAATATATCATGATTTCTTGCTCTTGTATTTTTATGTGTGGAAAATTTATCCATACATCTTGACACTATATTTGGGAGCAGATTACTGTCATCTAACTCTGTAATTGATGTGAAATATTTATTTAATAGTTCTATTTTTTCTATGTAAAATGAAATTTTTTAGTTTCCATTGTTGTCTGTAAACTGACAGGTGGAATTTCATTTGTTGGTTTAATGGAAAAGTATCTTTCAGTAACTTCCAGTATAGTTTTTGATATTCAGATATCAATTGGATGAGAATCTATATTGTCATAATAGTTTTTAATAGCACAACTTTTTCATTTAAAACTTTTCCTTTCTTTCAAAGATTTTCATCAGATTCTCTTTTTGCATTTTGTGCTATTTTTCTTGAGTCTATTCAATACACAAAATGTTTTCTTGAAAGAGAGTTATAATGGTTTATCATTTGGCCTTATAGTAACAGTTTTTTAGGTATGCATTGATGAATAATAGAGTTAAATTTTTCTTTAGTGAAGTTTGTTGTTGCAAAATTAATGTTTTCTGTATCATCAATAAGGTATTCCATCGCATTTTACAATAAAATCATTAAAAAAGTTCTAAATCTGCTTGTTTATAGTTCCAAATTTTACGTTTATATGCCACATTAATTTGTATTCTGGTAATATCTATATAAGTTGCTTTATTTTCACTAACTTATTTATCTAATTTGTTCCAGAACTCATGAATGTATATTGTCACTAAAATGATAGGATTCCATTGTTTCTGTTCTGTTAGATACAGTTGCTACAATTAGTGTAATATTTGAAGAACAGTGTTCAAAATATGTATGAAAAAGCATGTGTTAACTTTTAAAAAATCATCGGATTGCCAAGTAAAATATTGTTTAGAAGACGATGCAAGCCTTTTCAATGGTGTCAAGAAATTTTTGCCAAAAGACATAAAAGTGGTGCTTAAATAATCATATTTTATTCCTACATTTGGTATTTCTATCCAAATGAAGTTTTAAATCTTTCTTAACTAGCCTTAATTAAATTTAAACATAAATATTACACCATTGATTGAAGGATCAAATATATACTATTACTTTTTTCTCAAAAATACACAGTAAAACCAATTATCAGGATAAAAGAACTTGTGTACAAGTAACAGTGATATCTTGACTAATTGCAGGCTTCTTCATGCATAGTGCTAACAACATTCATCAATCAAAACCTTGAAATGGTGATCCAGGTATTTATATTCTAAAATAAATGCTAAAAATTCATTATTTTTGATAGTCCTAAAACGGTTTTTTTCTCCAGATTAATTTTTAAATGTCTTAACTGCACAAATATGAAAAATTGTGCAACAAAATTGATTCTGCAATGTATGACATACTGTTAAATATATACTAGATACTGTATATGAAAAGCACCACTGCAACGTATGCACTGTAAATAACAAAATACACAGTAACTATTTGAAACCCTTAAATGTACCAAATTTTTCTTTAAAAAAATTACCCATTCTCAAAAATTTTAAAAAATAGTTATTCAATATCTAAGGTTTGGTTTTGTTGAAGGGATTTAGTGAATTTTTATTATTTGAGAACATATACAAAAGTTGTGAATGTTGAAATAGGAAGAAAGGAATGTCTAAAAAACACATCAATTTTTAAGTGCCTAACGAGAGTAATTTTTGTTCGCACATGAGTCTCTTCACGTAGAGACTGGAGCAGTATGACCTACCTCCACTTAACGGTCATACTTGACTAAATCAGTATGAGCTACTTGTACGTCCACTTTACCATGTGACACACTTGACTGGAGCAGTATGATCTAAGTCCACTTAACCATGTGTCACACTTGACTGGAGCAGCATAACCCACCTCCCCTTAACCATGTGACACACTTGACTGGATCAGTATGACCTACTTCCACTTAACCACGTGACACACTTGATTGGAGCAGTGACCTATCTCCACTTAACCATGTGACACACTTGACTGGAGTAGTATGACCTACCTCCACTTAACCATGTTACACGCTTGACTGGAGCAGTAGGACCTACAACCACTTTACCATGTGACACATTTGACTGGATCAGAGAACTACCTCCACTAAACCAGTTTTCATTATTGTAAGTATGTTCTTCTGTTTGGTTTTTTCCCTGTGTAAAGTTATCTTAGGGTTAGTTAAACGTATGATATTTCCAGTTCGTACAGCGTAGTAAGACGTGAGGAGTGTTTGGTTAAAATCCTCGACGGACACCAATAAGAGACCTATACGTGGTGTGAAAGTGACAGTATGGATGGTCCAGTTTGGGTGCTGAAGGTGTGTGGTATTTTAGGATTACGTTCTTTCCAAGCCGGAGGGTGAGACCAGCAAGTCTCTTTTGTCGATTGTCCGCATGTGAGTTTATCGGGGCGGATAATGCACGTGGTTTTACGGGAGTCCTTCAGCGTGACTAGTGACATGAATAGTGAATTTCAGTGAATTGTGTTTGTAAATAAAATTTGAGAAAGGAAATTCCAAAAACTATTATACAGATTATTTATTAAAGTGAACTTTTTCTAATTTCTTATAAAGAACAGCTATTTGTTAATCTTATTATCTGATACGCGAATTGAACAAAAAGACTGCTGATTTAAAGTAATTTACATTGTATCAGATATTTGTATATTTATCACTGTTTCATATTATTCTAGCTTGAGTGTGGTGTGAAAGGAGGGAGAGAGAATATTATCATTATTTTTTTTTGTTTATTTTCTTAAATGAATTTTTTTGTTATCTCAGCCATACAAAATTCCAAAGAACTCATTACACGATGTGGCACACTTGACTGGAGCAGTATGACCTACCTCCACTTAACCATGTGACACGCTTGACTGGAGCAGCATGACCTACCTCCACCTAACCATGTGACACACTTGACCGGAGCAGTATGACCTACATGTACCTCCACTTAACAATGTGACACACTTGATATGGAGCAGTATGACCTATGAATATATATATAAAAAAGTCTGTTAATTCAATAACATTTTTTACCATTCAAAGCATCCATGTAAGCTATGCCAATACCTTTCAAAAAAGTGTTTTAAAGGGAATAAAAAGTCATAAAAAGTGCGCATTTATGGACAAAAGACAGTGTGATGCACGAAATCGCTCAATGTACCCATTATGTACATTTACACGAGTAACTTGGAAGTGTGGAACAAGAAAATTCGCATCCCACAATGTCTTTCTCGTTTGTTTACAATTAAAACATATTAAGAATAAAGTGTTTCTTGAAGACGTCTTTTGAAAATGTATTTGTATTTTCAGTTTTTTCTCCAGTAAATTTTGCAGGAATATATCAATATTGTTATGTTTTTTATCTTTGATTTGTAAATATATTTGCAAAACAACATTTTTGACACAATATGGAATGTCTGAGGCTGACCCGGATATCTACGCATCGTATACTTCAGTCTTCTTCATTCTTCTCTCTATCCTTCCCCCAAGGAAAAACCCTTCGACAACAGTCTCATCAAACATATATAGAAATATAGATATTTGTCGATAAAATTCATCTTCTGCTCATGAAAAATTCAATTTTAATTTCTCGGATACTTACCTAACATAATGAAGTAAATGTCAGCACAAAGAAAGCAAAATGTGTCTTATTTACATAAATTGACCTTTTAATTATTTTTTTAGACTTTGGTATAATGGTTAACGTTCCCTAAATAACCAGTAAAATGATGTCAAATTTTATGCAGCTCTATGGGAAAGAACAATCAGGGATCCATGCAATTCTATCATTTAAATATTCAATGTGGGTTATATACTTGTGGTTCTAAGAATTTTTTGCTAAAGAGGTCAAACAAAATAAGATAAATAGGAAATTAAAATAAGGATGTAGTTTGAAATGTTTTCCAGTCATTATTATTATATACCTGTAGGCAAACGTAACCTAAACTGTGTCATTACACCAGTCTATAGAAAGTTTGGGTACTGTTGTACTGCAGGGCAAAATACTATTCTTGGTGGGATTTGATTTAATTTTTATATATATTGAACTATTTAAAATGTCGTCAAGCGTTATTTATCTGCCCTGCAAACACGAATTACTAAAATTATCGTTAAAAAGGCAATTGATTACCTAAATTAATATAATTGAAGTAAGCAAGTTTGTAATATAAAAATACTTCGTATGTATCGCTTATATGGTGCATAAAGCTGTTTTCTTACGTTTTTGACAAATGTTTTGTAAAATTCTCAGATATTATCCCATATTCATTTTGTTTCATAAGAGGAAAATGACTATTTCGTAAAAGAAAACGTGCTTATACAGTGTATTTTAGAATTGAGATTAAAAATTAATGACAAATTGAAAAAATTAAGACAGCAATAAAACAAATGACTCTAGTTTTGCATGCTTTGGGACATTTTAACACAACATTAAAAACACTTTATGAAATTAATAATAATTGGGGTAATATTTAAAATAAAATTTTTCAAAGCACCAGTCACAAATTAATGTTTTATTTTCCAGTGAAAGATCCAAAATGTAGATACAGAGTTCAACTTCCGGTTGCGTCATGGCACACAGCATACGACGCATGCGCCGAAAACAACAGGACTTTAGTTACGATAACATCGTTAACTGAGATGTACCTCATAGATTTAGTCTTACAGGAGGTTGATGAATTGTTTTTGACTCCATTAATTTACAGGTATGTTAAGCACTTGTAAAATCCTATTAGTAAGAATTTTTAATCATCTCTTTATAAACAATAAAATATGAACTAACATAATGATTGCATTGTCTACTTTTTTCCCTGTTTGTTCGATTATGACAATTTAAGAAACACTCAACAGATATGACTGATGGGAAGGGAATGCTGACTGACATTTTTCATACTAATTGTTAGTCCATTATTTATACACTGAATTAACGACGGATTTTCCCCTTATTTCCCGGATGACAAGGAGCACACGACGGGTGTGACCGGTCGGCAGGTAATGCTCACTCCATGGCAACTGATCCCACTTCCAATGTTTTGGAGGTCCGTTTTTGCTCTGCTCCTATTTTGTATTGTTTTCTGGATTTTTGAATGCTTTGAATACTGTTCGTTATCAGGATGATTATATATATATATAACATGTTAATATGAGCATGATCCCTGTTCTTTATTTTCATATCTCATATCTTTCTGTGCATCATTCAAACAATTTAATTATGTTTTTCTAAATATTATTAGATTTTTTTGGTTTCAGTCATTCCACTGGAGTATGGATTAAAGCCTTCCTTCGGTCCTCTACCAATGAAAGCATGTTAGAAAATTGTAAATCTTTAGATCCTCAGCTTCCAGTAAAGATAAGTGATGCAGGTCCGAGTGATATGGTTTGTCTTTACTACAACAGAACAGAGCAGAACTTCATCACAGATGATTGTTCTCAAGAAAAGATGTTTATCTGCGAAAGTAATAGTGAAGGTATACTTTAGAAAATTTTACATAAGTAAAACTTTTTCATGAGTTATTTATCATATCTTAATGGATTTTCATGTATTCTAAGTTTTACATATCTCCTATATCAATTGGTGAAAAAATATTGCTAAACAATGTACAACTTTAGTTGTTTAAAACTTTTTTCATTTCAATTTTATTTGATCTACCGCATTTGTATTGTAGAACTTGAGGCATGTATGAAGGACACGGCAAAAGAATCCCTGAAAGACGAGGTTCCATTTAAGTTCTGCTTAGATACAGTTTACAATAGTGTAACATCTGAAGAACAGTGTGAGAAGATATGCAGAGAAAAGCAATCCTGTTATACATTTACGTATTCATCGGATTGCAAAATCTACCGTTTAAAAGACGATTCGACCTGCTCAATGGGTCGATATCCCCCTCCAATGATTAAACATAAAAGTAAATGCTTAATATCAAATATATTTAAGTATTACATTAATTATAATATATATAATTCTAATGTTTAGTTTTCTGTATTTTTAATCCTCCCTCCAACAATTAGACATAAAATTTCAACTAATTTTGTATGAGTGATTGGTCAGAGGTTCTAATGCTAGGGCGGGGCTATATAGATTATATAGTAAAAGTGCATTATTTCTTTGAAAATCTTCTTCTCTGCTCCTGGGTATTAAACAAACAAATTTTATGTATAGTTATGATAAGCAAGAGTGTCTCTTCCAAAATTTTGAATTTCATGACCCCAGGGTCAGGGCTTCTGGAGTTAGGGCGGGGCTACATAGATTGTATAGTGAAAATGCATTATTCTTTGAAAATCTTCTTCTCTGCTCCTGGGCATTAGATAAACTAACCAAGTACATACAGTACCTGGCCAGAAGTCTGTCATAAAATGGCTGACGTAACGTAACGTGAACAACGTGAACGCAAAATTCAAAAAAAAAAAAACAACTAAATATTAAGCACTTACCCTTTCATCTCTAGTATTTAGTTGCATGACCCTTAGATTTAATAACTTGTCGAATTCGCCTTGGAATTGAAGCGTACAGTGAATGTAGTACTGAGGCAAGGACCGCCATAGTTCCTTTACTTTCAAGATGAGGTCTTCACAGTTATGAATATTGTGTACCTGTCTCTGAATACGTATTTTTATAGTTCTCCACACGTTTTCATTTATATTGATATCTGGAGATTGTGATGGCCAAATAAGACATTTAAATATCGTTTTCAGTTTTCCATGATTTTGTGGCGTTAGAGGAGTGGACCGGTGCATTATCACCCTGAAATAAATAGTCACCATTCGGGAAATGGCGCAAAATAACTGGCCATAAATTTGTATCTAAAATGTTAATGTATTTTTGGGAATTAATATTCCCATCTACCTCTGTAAATGTTCCGATTCCTTCGTGAGTATTACACCCCCAAAACATCACCGAGTACTTTCTGTTTCCACGGACGCCAAGACACTCGGGTCGCCATACTTCGTCGGGTTTTCTCCAGATGTAAACTCGCTTATTCTGGTCAATCACAACCTGGGTTTCGTCGCTGAAAATCACCTTTTTCCAATTATTATTCACTGTCCAATGTAATTTCCCTCGACACCAATTTACACGGCGGGTGCGGTTTACAGATCGAATTGTCAGGGTCTTCCTGGTTTTCCTTCTTGTAAAGTTTAAAAATCGCAAACGTCTTTTTACCGTCCGTGAAGAGATAGAACTTGGTAACTTCGAGTTCACTTCATCAGTTATTTCACCCAAAGTTTGCCGTCTGTTGAGTTTCACACATCGAAGTATCTTACGATCTCCTTGCACATCAGTTTTTCTAGGTCGTCCGCTTCGATGCTTATTTTCGATGGATCCGCGCGTCTTGTATCGCTTGAGAAACTCGGAAATCCCAGACTGGCTCACAGAAAGAATAGCTGCAATGTTCTGTTGGGTATATCCACTCTCAGACATAGTTATTATCGCATTTTTCATAGGGGTAGACATTTGTTTACCTTTAGTAGCCATCTTGTCAGTTGCTAAACATTTGACAGATAATACGTCACTTTTATAAAATGACGTCATAGAATTATTGTATATACTGTATAGAAAGGAACTATTCAGCAGCAGCTTGTATAGAATGATTTATTTACCAACGCTAAAGAAAAAAAAATTGGCTTCCAGAATTTTGATATTTCGGCAGCCATTTTTATGACAGACTTATGGCCAGGTACTGTAGTTATGTTGAAAAAGGCTGCCTCTTCCAAAATTTGAATTTTGTGACCCCTGGGTTGGGGGTTCTGGTGTTAGGGCGGGGCTCTATTGATTATATAGTGAAAATGCATGAATTCTTTAAAAATCCATTCTTTTGCTCGTAGATATTATGCCAATGATTTAAGTACATATTTAATGATGAAGAAAGGTTCCTCTTCCAAAATGATTAATTTCAGGGCCCCTGGGTTAGGGTACGGCAGGAGGGGGGGGGATTTACTTAGTCTGAAAATAAATTAATGCTTTGAAATCTGCTCTTTGGTATTAATCAACCATTTATGATGAAATAAATTTTATAATAAAATTTTGAAATATGTGCTCTAGGATTAGTGATTCCTTTGGGGCGGTATGCGTAACTGGTGGTTATAAAGTGGAAATGCATTTTCTCTTTGTTACTCTGATCTACCTCTGGGTATTAAGTAACCAATGAAAGTAAGCATGCAAAGTCTATAATTATGATAAAAAAAATAGTGCCTCTTTCAAAATTGTGAATTTCATGGCTTTTGGTTTAAAACACAAAACAAATTCAATTGCTGGAAAAATGTTACATAATACTCAGGTGACCTATAAGGCCCATGGGCCTCTTGTTTATTTACATAAGACAACAGCAGTGAGTCTCATTGATATCAATCATGTTGATTATCTACAGAGAAAATGTAAAAGGTAAAAATATCGAACACTGATCGATCTAAAAATAACTAAACAATTACAAATATGTAAAAATGACATAAAGCACGGACCCCTGGACATTTCAGAGGTGGGATCAGGTGCCAAAGAGGAGTGAATACGCTCTGTTGACCGGTCACACCCGGGAATTATCTTGTCAGATTCTGTTACGCGTCTCATCTGCATTTTACCAAATAATGACGAATTTCTCAGCAAAGAAAAAAACCCTGACTCGAAGTACATGTTTATGTACTACAGTAATATTTTCACTGATTGAAGTTTTTTTTAATATATAATTCTAACAATTATCAGGAAAATAGAGTTATGTACTAATACTGCAAAGATATCTTTACTGGTTGCAGGTTTCTTTATGCATAGTGCTACCAATTATCCTGTATCGTCAGCAAAACCTCTGACAGAATGGTGTCCAGGTATTTGTTTTCTAAACTAAATGCTAAAAAATTCATATTTTTTTGATATCCTTAAATGAGGATATTTCTCCTTTTATTAATTTTTAAATGTCTTAATTGCACTTGATCAAAAATTAAAACAAAGATTGATAATGTAATAGGAATATCAAATATATACTAGTATACTGTACAGTACCATTGCATGCACTGTAAATAACAAAATACACGGTTTGAAACCCTTAAAAGTAAAAAAAAAATAACATTTACCAAAGTCTTCTCAAAAAATATTTTTCCCCTGGAGAAAAAAAAATATTTGTTAAAAGGGGTGAAGATAACTGCGATCGCTCCTATATGAAAACGTCTACAAACGTCGTAGAGCCAGGGAAAATGAACTTCTATAAATTTGAATCAATTTTTAAGTGCCTAAAGGAAAATTTTTGTTCGACTTGAGTCTCTTCAAAACATACTATTATACTACTTTAAAACAAGTTACTCGCTTCGTTTCATCTGTTTTTGAGCTTTAATTACATCTTTTATTCCTTGGAACTATCATAATAAGACTATTATAAACAATTTGACATTGGCGTTTGGTAGATTATCATCTAAAAAAAGCATCAGATAAGGAAACTCTGAAAGAAAACAAACACAATGAAAAGTTAAGGGTAAAAGTTTATAAACGATTTCAATTAATATTTGGTTGCAAATGACTTTCAGTAGGATCTATTCAATATAAGAACAATCTAAAACGTGATGTGGCTTAAGCGTCGCATGTATTTTAATTCCGTTAAAAATCTTGACAATATTCTTATATTCATTTGCTAATCTATAGAATTGACGGAAGAAGTGATTCAAGAGAAGATAGACAACATTCAGAAGAATTTAACAGTGAACCCCAAGGAAACAAATCAGTATATTCGTACACTGACCAGCGCACCGGATGATAGACAATCGGCAAAAAACATAGGAATCGTAGGTGTCTCGGTGATCAGTGTCGTGTTTGGAATCATAATTCTCTCTGACTGTATCAATGTGGTCAAAGGAATCCAAAACAAATGTACCAGGTAAAATACAATTGAAAACAAGTTGGCTGAAAAATCCTGTCAACCACTACTGATATGCTCAAGTAGGGAATATACTACCAATCATTTGCTTACAAAACCTGACATAGCCATGGAATCTACTTCCAAAATATATTCAATGTTAATTTTTTAATTAACAAAGAACGAAAAAGAGGAAAATAATGACTGGATGCCGATTTTAGGTGTTTGTGGGAAGATATAGGATAAACAGTATTATATTGCGTGTTTCTTTTGTGTTTTTATGAGTGACTAGTATGGAAAAAAGGACTTTTTAGTAAAAATCAACAATATCCAGAGGTGATCAAAATCGACATTATATGCATGTGTTATTCGAGAATTATATGGAAGTGAAATGAAATGAACATTTTCCCAAAATGTTGAGATGTCTGATTTTTTTCTTATAATCTTTTATCTTACCGTTTGTTCGTCATTTTGTGTGTATATTGCACAAGGTTGTAATTTGTCACCAATGGTATTTTTTTTTTAAATTTCATCATCGGTTCTTCAGAAGATCAATTTTTTTGCAGAATGCAAAGTATTAGAATAAGCAAAATTAATGCAATGTCTCGAATCATAGAGCTATTGTCTTAATTTCAATGGAACTTTTTAATTGCATGATAACGGTCGATCAGCATTGTTTGAATAACAATTATAAATTTTTTACAAGTCACGAAATTATCCGATATGATCCTGATAAAGTTTGACCTTAAAGCGACATGGACGCAGTTTCAGCTAAAAAAAATCAAATTCATTTTTCCATTTTTTTAATGTTTAGAAATACTTGACTTAGGTATTTTAATGATAATCAAAAATTTAAATTTCAGTTGTCGAGATACAAGACAGACTTAGAGCCCCAAACTTTTGTTAAATTAACAAGGCTCGTGCCATGAATTTGTTTACGAAGATTAATTTGCAAATATTTGTTCAATGAAAGCAGTTTTTTTTCAAAGTTAAGTTAATTCTAAATACCATTAACAGTTTCAAGTGATTTGCTGAATCTTGTTTTGTTATAAATATAATATTTTTCTATATGTAAACAAAAAATTTACAATATGAAGAATTTTAAGTTCAGTATCTCCTTTGTAAATCAACAAAATAAAAGAAAAATCAGTTGAAACTATGTCGTCCATGTCTCTTTAAGATAACTTTTTCTTCTTTTCCTGTTCATGATAATATCTTCTGCTAATCATTTACGAAGTTATATATTTCAGCATTATTTTTAAAAGGTTGACATTTTTGTCAAGAACAAGTTTTAATTAGTATCCACAAATGTAGTTTATTCTTTTTTAACATACAAGTGAAAAGTGGGTTCAATACGCTTTTGTTGACACGTTTACTAGAAATATGACACTTTGCACTACGCGTCTTACACATAAATCAATTTCTAGAGTATTTTTCTGCAATACTTCTTTTCTGAAATCATGGGTTAATATGCTTATTTTAATTGAGATGCAAATTTTGACAAAGAAAACCTTAATGACTTCACATATTCAAATATTACCTTTCTGCAGTGACAAAGTTTTTATATTCCTGGCATAAAAGGTTTATTAAACAATTATTCTTTTAAAGTTTTCAGATTTTACTAAATCGAGGCAAAATTGTCACTTCTATTTCCTGTAAAAAAAAAAATAATGAAAACAATCAAAAAACGTCAAAGTATATTAAATAGATTTTACTAAGAAGTGCTATTCTTAAACTAAAATTGGGTCGATTCTGGACTTCCCATCATGTTTGTTAAAAATGTCACAATATGATAAAGCTCGTTATAGTTAGTTTCATTCATTATTTGGTTCTATCATATCCTTTTATATACATGGCAAAAAAAAATAGATTGAACATCACAGTTATATAACTATTTTGAAAGAAATATCTAAAAAAAAAAAAAAAATCGTCCACCACTCAATATAACGGTAGTTCCTCACTCAATGCTTTTTATATGAACTATTTTCATAAGATATAAATTGAATAATAGTTTTTATTAGCACTGTAGAGTCTAAATTAATTCTAAGAACTAAGGATGGTGATTAAATTTTAGAAATAGTGGTTCAGTCAAAAATTGCTCAAAAGCTCGTAAATAATTGTCTTCCTTGTTTGTATAACTTTGTTTATGTTATGTTTACGTTTTCTTCAAGATAACGAAAAATAGATAATTGTTAAAAAAAAGATAAAAAAAAAAATAGTGTCCATTATATTATGACATGTACTTGGGAAAAATCAATATATTTTCACTTGATTGTTTTTAAAATGAAATTTTTGAATGTGTTCTTAAGTGCAATATAATTAGTATGATAAATACAAAGTACCAACTATCAAAAAATGTATAATTTAAATGTGATTTATATTTTTTTCTGTTTTTAATATTTAAACAGCTTTTTCAATAGGCATATTTTTAAAAAAAAAATTTACTGTTTTAATAAAATATATTTATCTGAAAATATTTAAATCAAACTGTATTGGATTCTGCAAAGTGCAATGGATCACATAAGTAATCTGAAAACCATCATTGCAAACCACAGTTTTGATTCTACAAGAGAGAATCGTCGGTCACCGACGATGTCTTGAAACAGATTTACAATTAAAGAGGCTTGGGGGTGGCAGCCATTTTCAGACTATTTCGATCTCCTTTAAAAGAAGAGCTCCATATAAAGATATATCAAAATTATCAAATTTTAAAACTTAAATGTATGAATTCTTTCTTTGCCAAATGATAGTTGACAGCTTAAGATACCGTATCTAAAAAAAATAAGTTAAATCTGATGGTTAATTTTTGGTTAATTTTTTGACCCCTCAGCCTCCTTAACATGAAATTATCATTCTGTCCATATGAATAGAAAGTCTTTACTAATATCACAATTCTTAATCCTTTTCCAAGGCTTTTTTTTCATTTTTATCTAGTTTATAAACATAAAAAAATCCAAAGGCACTTTGCTGTGAGTTTTTTTTAAATCAAAAAATCACACATCTTATTCTATGCATTGTCGTTGCAAATCAAATCAGATATTGGAATCTACATAATTTTTTTCTATTTTAGCTCGAACCACTTCGAGATGTCTTTTTTCAGATTTCTTGTTAAAAAAAAATAGCGCCATGCTTAATATTTTATCATTGCATTGATTTATGACACTTAAATTTATATTTTTCAAATAAAATTTTAATAATGTTGACTGCTAATTCTGTTTACAGAGCGTTTGCAGAGTCCTTTATGAGTACTCAATATTTTGAATATACAGTATTTAAAACTAGAAAATATACGAATGAAATATATGAAGATAGCGATCAATATCCAAGCTCTACAGTCTATTTAACAATACAAAGCAGGGGCAGAGGAAACGGGAACCTATAAAATAACAGAGGCGGGATCAGGTGCCATGAAGGAGGAAGCATCCACTGACGACCGGTCAGAGTCGTCATGTGCTCCTTGTGAAATATTAAGAAGTTTCTTTCTGACGCTCGTGATAGTTCCCTCTCTCAAACCTGCTCTAAAATCAAACGATAAAAAAATCTTATTTTATATTTAGGAAAAACTCTGAATAAAATATATCATTGTTTATATATATCTACTTAAACAAATGTACTGTATATTTGCTGAAACAATAACAAAATAAACCAAAAACTTGATGCTTTTGCCTCTCCAAACCTTGAATTTCCTTGTAATTAGACTGAAATTACTTAGCATGAGAACGTTATTCAAATGTATTTTCTTCCCGTTCGATGGTTTTAGGAAATGTCTGTTAATTAACACTCAAAATACTAGTACATGTGTATTATGTTCATATTAAAATGTATTATTATGAAAATATCTTATTCAGTGTGCTTTATGGCCTATTAAAATCTGTTATTCGATTTAGAGCAGTAACGAGAGAAGGGGTTTGATTTTGCAGTGGATGATTAAACCTCAACTAAGCCTTTGCACCAAAAGTAGAGTGAGTAGAACTGGCGACAATCGTTTTTAGTTTATTTTAAAGGGTTTTAATGTTTTAGTTTTGATATGACTATTTTAGTCTTTCACATAAAACACATAGGAAACATTTGATTTTAAGCCTCCAAGTATGTCCGAAAACTTGTGACGTCACAAGAAGGATATGGAGATAACGAACAGTATTCAATATCAAAGTCCATAAAACAATACAAAATAGGAGCAGAGCAAACATGAACCTCCGAAACATCATTTACTCGTCTGCAACAACTTGGTTTTATCTCCACCACTTCCAAGCCTCCGTGTAAGTTCCTTAGTTCTCCTGTCAAACGACTGAGAATGTTTTTGTTGAAACCAAGAAAAAACAAATAACATCCTGTAGAAGTTAAATATGTAATTAATTAAAGTTAAAGGACGAAAGAAGCAAAACACAGCTTAAATTAACAAATTAGGGTCAGAAAAATGAATCTCAATAAATTATCTATCTTACTAGGCAGAATATTTCACAATCTGACCCCAATAAGAATTCAAACCCTGTAATCTTTCACAAGGTACAGTGTGCTGTACATGTATTACATAAAGACCCCCGTAAAACACCAAAAGATTAAAAACAAATGTACAAATGCTCTAAACTGCTCTCTGTTATCAAAAAGGGTGGATAAAACAAAAAAAAAAAAAATAAACAGCATTTTGAATTGGAAACTCGAGAGGAAATATCTTTCATCAAAGCATCAATACTGAATTTGAGGTATGCTGCCGCTCTGTAATATTAATTGCTTAACTGATATTTTAATCCTTGCAGTGGGGATACATTCGACAGCAAATATCAAATCATTAGTAATTTATAGACTACGAAAAATTATCGCATCATGTTTCCATTAAGTTATGAATTTTTTAAATTCAATTCAAGGTTAAATGTTAAACAAAACGATTAAAATTGCAGGAATTAGTACCAACCACGCCGAAATCTGAGGAGTGTCTTATTTTTTGATGACCTCGAATCTGAAACAAAATAAATGTTTAGAAATTTGTTCTGATTTGATAAAGCGGGTTTCAGAAATGTTTTTTTTAGAGAGAAAAAAAAAGCACAATTTAGAGCATCAATTTAATTTTGACTTCCATTCGGTCCCATAGGTGAAAGTTTTTTTCAAAAGCTCATTGCAAATCTGCAGGACACCTGTTTTCTTCAGAGAATAAATAGAAAATATCAGCCAATATTATAATTTAATTAGAAAATTAGAATAAAAATTTTCGACACTCATTCAGCCTTAAATGTGACAATTTAAATTTCAAAAGCTTTTTTCCACATCTGCAGAACACCTGAAATCATTTTGCAAAATAATGGAAAAGTACTGTGTGTATAAATGGACTTCAGTAAACCAAGTAAATATTATTTTTCTTTCTTAAAAAAAAGCTTTGTTTTTCGAACCCCGATTCGACTTCCTGAGAAATATGAATTGAATTGGCTAATGGGTAAAATGTACTGTGAGATTTGGAAATAGGTCAAACGTACGTCTTTTTCAACCCCAGTCTGGCTCCTATGGTGAAAATAAAAAAAGAAAGCCTCAAATTTACAAGACGTCATTAATCAACCTGCAGAAGATTATTTGCCACCGTATAAAGTGTGAGAGAAGTGTCTGGGACCAGGCCTTGGGATCATGAAACATCTTAAGCATAAGTCAAAATCTTTACATTGCATTTAAATATTGTAAAAGTCAAGCAATGATAAAACCCTAATCAAAATATTTCCCCACATTGTTTTCCAAAGGTGTTGTTATTTGCAAATTAAGAGATTAATTCAATAATCAGTAAACAATTTACGAGCTATTTAAAAATTAACTTCAGTCCAAGTCTGTTTCATGATCCTGAGGCCAGGCCTTTTAGGGAAAAAATGTTTTCAGCTCCCATTCGGATCCCTAAAATAAAAAAAATGTTGAGACTATTTCATATAGATCTAAATGAACCACCTACGTGTATCAATCTGAGAATTCCAAAACATTAATCGGTGTTTTGTTAAATGGTAAGAGACATTACAAGAAAAAGAACAAGTGACAGATAGACTGATGGACAAGGATAATTAATCCAAAGTAGAAAGTTTTAATAATAATAAATACTTTGAATATCCCTGTTGTTACAAGGAATCTCTCTATTCAAAGAGAACACAATTATCTTATTAACAAATTATATAAATTGAATTTCTCTTCTTCATAACTGTTCACCATTCTCATTTAGTACATGCTACTCATGTCCTTCAAATCGTATTTAACGTATTTAAACGCCCAGATATGTCTAATTTATCAACCTTAATTCTTCTAACTTCTCAGGTCTATAAATCATGCATCTTTCATTTCTTTAGCCTGGGGCTGTGCTACATTGTAATAAAGTGAAAATATTCTTATAAACATCACGAAACAAATAACTTATCTACATGTAAGATCTACACAAAAACACTTGTTAATGTTACAAATGGAAGCACGGTTTGTTATTTTTTCGTTTCAAAAATGAGATTTGGATATATCGTAATAGTGTACTGGACGTTCTTTTATAGAGGTAAGCTATACGATGTAAGATAAACTTTTGATCTAGATTTTTTTTTTTTTGATACACGTGTATGAAACAAATAAGAAACCAATTATTCAAACTGACCAATTTCAGATTCAATTTATAAGGAAATATCATATAGCAGATATTTTAAGATAAGGCCTAAAGTAAAAATTTGTTTGCAGTTGCCTACCGACCCACTGAAAATGCACCCGACCCAAACTTTTTTTTTAGCCATTGTGTAATTTTTTTTCCCAATTTTTCAGGATATTTAAACTGTTTCATTTTTAATTTTTGATTTGTTTTTATCAATCAGTGGTTTGTAACAGGAGTGGAGCTTATTCATGTTTAGTAGGCCTATGAAAAGCTTTATCATTTGTTATCTAAATAAATAAACAGCAGTAGAGAGGTAAATTATTTTTTCGGTAGGTCAAAACTTTAGAAAAACAAGTTAAATTTTCCCCCCACATATACATAAAGGTCCAGATTTTTATAAAGTTATTGATGAAATATAATTTCACAGGCAGAATTAACACCGCTTACAACTGTTTTTGAATCTTAGAAACGTACATGTTTTCCCCCCATTTTTTTCAACCTATGAAGAATTCCATACGTCATTCAATTGTCTCTTAATGTACGCTGTACACAATTGTTGACAAAAATTTCTAGACGAATCATACAATTAATATACTAGCAATACAAAATGTAGCTTCATGTAGCATATGTTCTATAACAGGCAGGAACTGGAACTTTGACTTGTATGTACAAATTTTAAATTCATTTGAATTTATTGCAGCTGAGGCAAGATCGGCTTTATTACCCGAATTCAATTTCAAAAAAGTTTCAAGGACAAACTTTGGAAGTTCACCGGTTTCATTTTCTGGAATACAACTTTTAAATAGGGCGGTTGAACGTCCCAAAGAAAAGACAATTCAAAGCAGAATTGAACTACCAAATGCTATAAAAACCAAACCTTTCAAGAATTTCAAACAAGTTACACGAAGGCCTAGAATCCGAGATCAAGTGATTCCCACAAAACAAACTGTTAGGACCAAAACTTCCCCAGTAGTTCAGTCAACCTGGATGCAATTACCCCCAAAAATAGGAGGCAACAGCAAACTCTCCATGCATGATGATAAAACCCTATCATTACAAAATAGAGCCTTTAAAGACAGAAGTCCAACAAAGAATATTCAGTTTACAAAATTGATACCAAGAAATAGTCAAATATCGTCAAAATGGCACATGCCACCTCAAAGTACGACACAGAAAGTGAAAGGTAACGAGCTAGAAATCACTCTCGTTGGACAAAAAGTACCAAAGCATGGTAAATCTCATATTATTCCAACAAAATCAGTTCCGATTCAAAAGAAAGTCACCGAAAATCCATTATCTAATTCCGAGGTTACGGTTGTCGTAAAATCAGAAGGAACCCCTAAACCTGTGGAAGAGTTACCGTATTGTTCTTGGATAGACCCTTCTAGTTGTCCGGACTTCAGCAAAGTGCAGCCTAGTTGTATAGAGACGCTCTCGGTATCATCATTAAGGGGCGAGTGTAAAATGTGTCCATTTAACTGGTGCAAGGGACCCAATGACATGGCCGGAAGTGGCAAGCTGCAGGACCAGTCACCTTTAGATGTAGTGCTTGGTCCCTCAAATTACCGGTTGGCGGTCAATGTGCCAGGAACTGGACCAAAACAGAGCGTCTCGAATTTTGGGAATAAACCTCCCTCGACGACAACCACAGAGATTCCATTTTGGAACTTTCAAACCTTCGGACCGTGAAATTAAAACGCCATAAATACTTTTAACTTTTTGACATCATATTCAGTGAAATATGTGTCCTTATTAGATTCTTAGTTGTTAAAACCACAGCTTCAGGTGACGTCTTACTTTTAACTGACATGATCATTGTTTACTTTATATATGTATAATGTATTCATCTTGACGACAATTAAGTACGTCTTCATGACCGAGGGAATGTAAAGCATCGTGTTAACAGTTAATGTCTATTTATTACTGGAATCATAAATTATTATAATGACAGTTACCATTGTAACTGAAGCAGAATTAATTATTTTCAATCAAACCTTATATATATGTATATATTATAAAACGTGTTTTGTTTGGAGGGGAAATGTACTACTTAAAAAGAAAAATATAAATTATTATAATTACCAGTATACTTCTTCATAAATAATTGTAAATAACACTTTATTTGAAGGCGCCATTAAAAATTAGGGCCTTCTTAAATTCGAGAAAGTTTTTTTTTCATAGCAAAAATATTTAATCAGAAAAAGTACAGCTATTTTCTGAAGTCAGAACTTCTGGTTTAAAAAAAATAAATGTTTATTTTTTAATAACTAAATATATCAACTTATATCTGAAGAAATATTTTAATGTAAAAAAAAAGATAAAAACTTATTCTGATATCAGAAATTCACCTGTATTCTTGATGCCAGGTATTATAACGAATTGGCTATCCATTAATTAAGCGGGAAATATCTTTCTTTCTTGCTGATAAAACTAAAGGTACTAAATGTAGAAATAGTAATTTTATACTAAAACAAAAAATAGGAAAGAAAATTCAACTCAAAAGGTTTTGTTTTTTTCAATGAAGTTCATATTTTTGTTCAAAGTTGCATATAGTGCGCTAAATACCATTAAATAATGTTGTCTTTTTTTTTTTTTTACCTTTGGCAGCTAATATGTGTGCTTATACTGAAAATGACTGTAGATTATTTTGCATTATTTTCAATTTTAAAAAAATCTTAGCTACATGTTTGTTTTATATATTGGTATATTTCTTGCTCCATTTGCCAAAGTAGTTTTAACTATCTTTGGACGAAAATAACAACATCCATGTGCAAGGGTTTTAACTTTTATGTTTTTGTTTTTTTTTATTATTATTATTATCATTTAATAAGGGAATTGGATATAGCTCGTTAATTTTTTTTTCACAGAATAATTATTTGATCGAATTTAAACTTAGCATTTTCTGATATCAAAACTTGAGTTTATGATAGGAAAAGATAACATGAAGAATTTTATCTGATATCAGAATTATACATTAAATCTTACATGTCTGTAAAACAAAAATTAATGTTCTGATATCCAAATATGATCATTTCTTTCATAAAAAAAAATCCTTTTCCATTTCAAACATTTTTAAATAAGGAATTCCTTTTTGATATTTGAAAATACCTTAAAAATACAAATCATGTAAAATGTAACTTCAGGTGTCTTAAATCTTTTATGGGCCAATCTTAGAAAGAATTGAAACTAGACCACTTGAAGGTTCTTAATTAATACTTTTTGCATATCCAATCAAAGAAATTTTTCTACATTAACTTGCTTTTAAACAATTTAGGCAAATTTAATGATTAAAAAAATATTTTGGTACACTGTACATACAGTGTACTTGCATTTCGTAATAAATAAAGCTATAAAGTATACAATCTTATTATTTCTGCGTGACATTATGTGGAATATACGAAAAGTCAATTAAAGAATTCTCTTCAATTTAAATTACTTTTCATCTGAGGAGAAGTTTGTCAAACAAAAATATATATCGCTATTTTTACCTTTTAAGAATCATTCACTGAAATTAATAGATGAAATGAATAAATAAAAATAGATCTAAAAACAATAACAACACATCATGAGAATAACAAAGGTATTATTTCTGGCTGATTTATAAATGGCTTGTACATGTACTTATACATTCTCACAATATGAGTTTACAACTTTAGATGCAGACCAAATTGAAAATTCATCTGTATCCAGTTGTGAATCTCTTCTTCATTTTCATTCAAAGATGTTGGTCTACATTCTTGTCTACATTGTATAATGAAAATGGAGGGAGTAGATGCCCTTTTTACAGAGATTTTTACTAAGAATTACAGCTGGAGCTGTATGTTTTCGTTTGATACAATAATCTTTAGGGTACAACAGGACTGTCAAAACTATACATAAATCTGAAGAAACTGATTACTTTCAAATTCACATGTAATCCTCCATTTTCAGTTTACTGCTCTGCCAATAATCTTGCCTGAAATACAAAAATAATATAATAAATATCCTTTGTCTCTCACAATTTAATATTTATTAACTTTATTCTAGGTAAATTTGAAATACAGACTTTTTAACTCTGTTTGATGAATGTGATGTTATTAGAAATATGTGTATATTGAAATTCATGTTGTTCACAAATTTATGTTTTGAAAACTGCTGTAAACAAAAGTATAAGATATTAACCTTTATTACATCAGCATATCCAAATATATTTATGACAAGAAATCTTTAGATTTCAAAAAATATTTTGACACTTATTTGCTATCTTCTGTAAAAAACAATATATCTTTTCCATCAGTATTCTGAATATTTTTTAAGAATTTCAATTTCGATGTGTTTATAAACAAAAAAAAAAAAACTTGAATTATTGATAAGTTTGAACATGTTGATCATTGATTAATTGATAAATTTAGTGATTAATTTTTTATCAGAAGACTCACTTTTTCCATCTGTATTTCAATTGTCAATAAAATGTCCTGAGTTTGATGTAGCTTCTCCCGGGCCTCTTTCTGAGCTTGTCGAGTGCACTCACAATCTGTCTCATATTGAGCCCTGTGCTGTTCCAAGGCTCTGAGCTTTTCCTGCATAGCTTGTATCTGACCTATAACCTTTTCCTCTTCCCTCTTAACACTTGACACCTGTTTTTCTCCAGCTGAAATTTCCTTCACATAAGAGTTTATTTGACCTTGTATATCTTTGATTTCTACTTTAAGAACTTCTTGTCTCATTTTCAGATTTTCATATTCTTCTCTGTACTTTGTTTTGTTGATTCCTCCTTGTACATGTATGTTTGAAATTACGAGTTTAAACGGATAATATTTAGGTTATTTGAATTAAGCAAGATGCCCATCTTTTATAAATGATCAAAATTTAAGGGTTACCAACCATATAGTGGGTTTTCTTGGCGGGTGAAAAATTTGGCATTTGGCCTGCTCAAACTTCAAAGGTATACTAATAATTTTGGCGTAATTTATTTTAGCGTACACAGGGTTTAAGCTCTTTGCAAATGAACACTAAGACCAGTGCTGTATATTTAGCGATTTAAGCTTTAGCTGTCTTCCGTCAAAATGCCAAAATAAGTCAAAATTAGCACCACGACAAAATAACCTGCTATACCGTATTTTCACTTTATATTTAAATTTTGAAAAATTTAAACAAAAGTCTACATACTTTTTCTTCTGGGAGCTGTTTCAATGTTATGTGAACTATTGGCATTGCTATCGAAGTTGCCATTTTGTTCCTCTTTGAGTTTTTGCTTGTTTTTGTGATATTCCTGAAAAATAAGTAGAACCTTCAAGTGATAACTGAATTCCACTGGGAAAGTATATTATTATTAAATGTACAGGTACATACATTCAACATAACTTGAAGAATAATTCAATAAACATCATGACTGTTTTATATGCTATCAATACATGTACATGACAAACTCAGCTATCAGTTAGGCTGGTCTTCAGTACATTTATTTAGTTTTGACAGTAAGTATGATCATAATGACTACAAAAGTATCTGCAAAATACTGCAGATCTATAACTTTCTGTGTGGTACTTTTTTATGTCATGCATGTTGTAATTGAGTTTCTGTGAAATCTGTTCCAGTATAGGTCAACTGCATTTCAGGCATTTAGTGGTAATCTAAGGAATTTTGTAAATGAAGAAAACAACAGGGATTCCTCAGCTTTAACCCAGAAGGAAAAAAAGGTACTTATACAGTATTATCTAAACTTACAGACCAAATGACAATAATCTATCAATGTTCATGAATCAAAGCCTTTTTTAAAATGAATTCTACATATCTATATTTGTTTTATATTCGTGACATATTTCTGAAGATTCTTATCACATCCCAATTTCTCCAACATAATTAATCACAATAATCTAACAAGACTCCGCCCTTTACCTCTATTATTTGCATGAGCATGATGTTCCTTGTTTTAGAGGAGGCCTGAGAACCACAACAAGGACAGATTTGTCTCCTTTTGGAACAGGAAACACAAGTATTGTGACCACAGGGAACATAGATCAGGGGACAATGCTGGTCTCCCTTCTGAAAAAAAAAATTATACAGAATTCTCAGAATAAACTAGAATAATTAGATCCATTTTTCTTACACTTCTTTAAGTACCAATATATATAAAACTCAGAAAATTAAGTCTACTTCCAATGTAAATAAGTTAAATTATTTCATCCATTTTTAGAATTTTTTTCTTTTTAAAAAATGCAACACTGTGAACTTACTTTATGTACACATATACTAAATTACCATTATATTTCTACAGACTGGACAGTAATGACTAGATAGGTCCGAGGTCCCTGTATTGTGATTGTCTCCTGATCCGCTCCACTGGTCCAATCCATATTTTACACGAGACAGAATATTGTCTGCCTTAGCATCAAAGTCCTCGGCAGACATCATCTGACTCATGATCATAGATTGCTGGTAGTCTTAAAAACAAATAAATAATATCCTCGAAAAACTCCAATAGACTATTTAAATAATTATAAAAATCTTTCAAATAAAAAGTATACATCAAATTTTTGCTCCCTTTATAAATCAAGAAACCAAAAAATGTAAAAATCTAAATGTATCACAGTATATCTTGATACATGTACGTATTGATGTATTTCCCCTCAAGATGCACAACCCAATAATTTGATAATGACACATTTAATTCTCATATTTCTAAATAGATTACTGCTACTTTGAATGAAGGCAAGTCTATCTGTTAATATATATTTAAAAATAAGAATTTTACTATATATATGAATTTTCATCGTATCTAAACAAAAATAACTGCAGTTCACTTTACCTGTACTTCAGTATTCATATGTTACATGTAGTACCTTTTATCATTTCCTGATGTCTTTTACCTGTACTTTAGTATTGATGTGTTAGTACCTTTATAATTCCCTGATGTTTCCTCCAATCCTGGTTCTGGACTGGCAAACCCAGGTGTCCTCGCACTGGAGACTCTAAGTATATCCACACCCTCCTCTCTTAGGTCCTCTCCTCGTTCTCTTAGATCCTCCTCTTCCTTTTTCTCCCTGCTGGCCAGCCAAGACTTAAACCTCTCTTTATGTATTTGATTGTTGGAAGAGGATCCTACTTTTTCTGTCAGGGAGGGTGTATTTTCTTTGGTGGGTGCATCAGTTTTAACTGTTTTCTTTGCTCCTGTTGAAAAAAAAATTGAAATACAAAAAATTGACTTTAAATCATCTACATGTAGATGATATATCTATCACTTACACTAACAGTAATCAATAATTAAAATAAATAAAGGAAAAGTTTCTTCCATTTATAGAAATACAAATAATCACATGATTAAACAAGCATTTCTTAATAATGAGTCAATGAGCAATTTAGCCATGTGACAAAAATTTATTTACTGGTACATAGAACAGCATGATTTGATTTAATGCATATATCAGTTATAATGAAAACTTTACATAATTTATGATCTTAATGTTGTGTTTATCTCCCTTATCTCACCTGATCCTGGTTTTGTAGCAGATGCTGGTTTTTGTTTTAACGCTGCTTCCCTCTGCTCCATCCAGTTCTTCTGTCTCAGCTGGATCTCCTGAACCTATATTATAAAAAAACATAGGTAATCAGAGATTACAGAGCTCACCTCAACGAATGTTGTCTTTTAGTAAGGCAAATTAAGTCACACAATTAACCAACAAAAAGTGTACATCCAAAAATGCAAAATTTATGCAATTTTGATACTTTGAAATAACCTATATATTAAAAACTTAAAACTAGTTCTTCATCATGAAAATGTAATTAAAATCCAGCATCTGAAGCAAGATTGAGAGTTTTCATCCCTTGATGCATCATTTGTGCAACTTTGGTTTATATTAGCCTTATAGTTTCTTGGTGATAGACCTGCACCCATAACTTTTACTCTATTATCTGGAAAATGTATGTCGAATTCAGCATCTGAAGCAAGTCCATTAGTGTGCATCCTAAGATGTATCATCCATGCAAGTTTGTTCAACATAGAGCTCAAAGTTACTTGGAAATGAAACCTGTATAAAAAACTAACATTTTCACTCATCCGGAAGATGTAGGTCAAATTCAGCTTCTGAAGCCAGCCTAGTAGAATGCACCCTTAGATGTACCATCCATGCAAGTTTGGTCATTACAGGGCTCAAAGTTACTTGGAAATGAATCCTGCACCATAAACTTTAACCTGTTTACTCATCCAGAAAATGTAGGTCAGATTCAGCATCCGAAGCAAGTCTGGTAGTATGCATCCTAAGATGTACCATCCAGGCAAGTTTAGTCATTATAGGGTTCTTAGTACCTTGGAAATGAACCTGCACCAAAAATTTTAACCAGTTCACTCAACCGGAAAATGTAGGTCAGATTCAGCATCCGAAGCAAGTCTTGTAATATGCATCCTAAGATGTACCATCCATGCAAGTTTGGTCATTATATGTCTCATAGTAACTTGGAAATGAAACCTGCACCAAAAACTTTAACCTGTTCACTCAACCGGAAAATGTAGGTCAGATTCAGCATCCGAAGCAAGACTGGTAGTATGCATCCTAAGATGTACCATCCATGCAAGTTTGGTCATTATATGTCTCATAGTAACTTGGAAATGAAACCTGCATCAAAAACTTTAACCTGTTCACTCAACCGGAAAATGTAGGTCAGATTCAGCATCCGAAGCAAGTCTCGTAGAATGCATCCTAAGATGTACCATCCATGCAAGTTTGGTCATTATAGGGCTCATAGTATCTTCGAAATGAAACCTGCACAAAAAACTTTAACCTGTTCACTCAACCGGAAAATGTAGGTCAGATTCAGCATCCGAAGCAAGTCTCGTAGAATGCATCCTAAGATGTACCATCCATGCAAGTTTGGTCGTTATAGGGCTCATAGTATCTTCGAAATGAAACCTGCACAAAAAACTTTAACCTGTTCACTCAACCGGAAAATGTAGGTCAGATTCAGCATCCGAAGCAAGTCTGGTAGTATGCATCCTAAGATGTACCATCCATGTAAGTTTGGTCAACATAGGGCTTATAGTTACTCCGAAATGAGACCTACACCAAAAACTGCACCAAAAATGTTAACCTGCACCAAAAACATTAACCTGGTCATTCCTTTGCTGAAATTGCAGCATCTGAAACTTTGACTGGTACAATGAAACACATTAGAAACATCTTCCATGCATTTCTAATCAATATAGGACATAGAAGCACTTAAAAAGAAAACTGCTCCAAAAAACTTAACCTTAACCCGGGACGCCGACTATCACATAAGCTCCCCTCAACTTCGTTGAGGTGAGCTAAAAACCATTTTTTCTTAAAAGTTTCAAACTTCAAATATTAGATTTTAAAGCTTTCTGTATTAAATGAAAAGATTTCAAAATGAGATTTTATTATTTCAATTTAAGAGCTGATCATCTTATGTACAGCAATAAAAGCAGAATTACTGAATGCAGTCATATACCTCTTGGACATTTATCATATCAATTGCCAAAATTTACTGGATAATATAAAAGTAAACTTGGTATTAATGTGCTAAACAAAATAATGAGGAAAAAACATACAAGTCTATAAAGTTGAAAATAAAAGACAACATATTCATGTTTTGACTACATAATTCCATTTCCCAAAGATTTGCTGGCAAACAGCAATTATCCACTACAAATCTTCAAAATCATTTGTCACTTAACTGTTAAATATGAATCAAAAGCAGTGTAGGGTAGACTTTACTTTATCGGTCCCCAGATCCGCAAGATTCTCGCGCTCATTAGACTACGACATAACAACTACGTCACTCAACTGAAATGGGTTAAATTTGCACACTATTCGACTGATTAGGGTTATTCTTGCACCCACCTGAGAGATTAAGGTTAGTACTTGCACCAGTATTCAACTGATTAGGGTTAGTCTCGCATCCATCAGAGAAATTAGGGTTAGTCCTCGCACATTATTCGACCGATTACGGTAAGTTTAGCATCTGCCCTGGAGATTTTGTCTAAACGTCTTAATCCTTGCATACCATCCGATTGATTAGGGTTACATGGGTTAGTGACTCGATCTTTTAGATAAGTTAAAAAATTCAGTAACTGTTGTTTCTGTTATTTTTCCAAGATCATAATTCAGCTTCAAAGACGTTTGTTTGTTTACATGGAAAAATGGCTAAGTCCGAAAGAAATGACACGAAGGCACTAAATGACAAAAGGCCGAAAAACCTCGTATCTAATTTTTTTTTCGATCGCTCACGCTCATGCGATCTTGTATATACTGAAGTCGCCTTCGGCGACACTACATTTTAGCGATTTTTCTGGCTTTAAAATCTAATATTTGAAGTTTTTCTGGGGAGCGGTAAAGTAAAGTCGTTCTGCAGTGTACATACTTTATACAGTAAAGAGTTATTGTATTAAAAATGAAATCATTTCTTGGCTAGAAATGTATAAAAAAAAAGTCAGATTTGATTTTGTGAAGATTTTACATGTATCTGTTTACTTGAAAAGAGAGTAGGCATAGATATTCTTAATTAAAATAATAATCATGACCATGGACTACGATGTTCAACCTGTATTCTGTTCAATAGTTAAAGGGTCTATACAATACAATCAGACATGCATGTACTAAGTACAGTAAACTAGATAAGGAACACGTACTTTTCCAGCTATCTCTTGCTTCGTGGCTTGCTTCGTTCTTGCTTTCCCTCTTCCAAGTGAGGCCATTTCTTATAATCTTGTTACTGCACTACAGATAATGTTACCGATTACAGAATAAAAAGATTGTAAAGGATTCAATACAGCCGAAAAACTACCCAAACCGCTCTCGCTCGTCGAAACGTCGGTTGTCAATAAAACATTCCAAAAGAGTTCCAAATTGGTGACATTTTAAATGATATCGAACCCGATGTTTTTAAAAACTGTAAGTTGTTTGTTTGTTTGTTTGGTGTTTTTTTTTTTTTACCGTGTTCACACTAACATTATTTATTTCAGTTTTGATAGGTATTTTGAAATTTAAACTTAAATGTTTGCACTGACGTGATTTTTCACGCACTGCTTCAGAATGAACGGTTGATTTGAATGATATCTTTGCAGACGACGCGTCGATTGAATATTTAATGACCATAATACATGTAAATCGTAGAGAATGGTAAAGATTGTCAAAGAATTATAACAGTTTAGGCCAATTCAACATCAAATACTTCATATTTTCTATACAGAGGTCTGATTATAAAGCATGATACATTTTGGGAAGGGGAGACAACTTCACACTTCGCCAAAGTAAGATATTTTTTAACCCATATTCACAAAAAAAGTTAAATCGTGTAAAATATACATAACAACAATACATATTTTCTTTTGCATTAATTTTAGATACAGACTGATAGTTGTACATGCTGTATTTTCTTTGCTTAGAAGAACCAGAATTGAAAATATCTTCAATATGGTTTTGCTCTAGTATGAGCCACATACACTACAGTTATACATGTACAGTGAACAATATACACAAACTGTCCTGAATTAGTCGCGAGTCTAAGACGACAGCAAATCTTCAAGATGCACAATTATCACTCAAGAACTAGCTTTGGGGTAAGTTAAAAAAGACAAGTTCAATTTATTCTCCAATAAAACAAATAATAATATGTATATCTTATGACTTAACTTTAAAATCATGCAGTGTACACTTGACTATATGCAGTACACTTGACTATATGCAATACACATGTGCATTGTACTTTAGATCTACAACATATTTTGAATACGAAATATTGCTATATATTATGAACCTAAATATATTGATTAAGTTTTTATTTATTGATTTAACCGAAAGTTTAAACTGCAGTTGCATGTAGATTATACATTTAGTTCGATCATTCTGTTATATGCTATACATGTATACATTTTTTCAAGGGGATAGCTAGAAAGAGATCGTCTATGGCCCAGATTGTGTCTAACACTCTGTTAAAGGGTCAGCCAGCAAAACCCTCGAGTATTTCGTTACTTAGGGGCCAAGGACAATTAATAAAGCCCCAGTCACCAGAAGGAGAGGTTATTGAAGACATGTACCTCGAAGAAATACTGCATTCCGGAGAAAAAGAGTAAAGTGTTCTTTTCATGTCCCCGTAATCGAAGATTAAATTGAAGTTAACTGAAAGTAGAGAAACTTCAACCCTCATATTTAAAAGTTGCCATACGTGGGCATCAGTGTTTCACAAACACATCTTGTCTAACTTTATTTAAATGCAATTACATGTAGATTTTGAATATAAGAGAGAGAGAGAGAGAGAGAGAGAGAGAGAGAGAGAGAGAGTTTGAATAAGATTTGTTTGTTTGAATTGTTTCAGTGAAGTCGACAATGCATCTAAAAAGAACAACGTCAGAGCAAAGCTGGGATTCTTTAGACTTCTCGTTCACGATTTCAAGGTAAAGAATACTTTATTATGATAACAATAACATTCTAAGCGATTGAATTCTACCATAGTTTATAAGGTTAATATCTTTATATAAATTTTAGAATGTAACGTTTTCCTACGTTGACAACTTAACGAATGAATTTTATTTTCTGGGACACGCAGAAGTGAAGCGTCGTAGTTCATGTACCTCATTAATTCCAAAATATAAAATTCACTTCTTACACTGTATTTACATTATTATTATTTTTTTTTGCCTTGCTACATTTTTTTTTTATTATTCAATGATCCTTTTATTTTGAGAGAGAGAGAAAAAAATGTTTGCTCCATTTTTTTTGCTTCAATCACATTACAACGGAAATATTCTTACTCATATATATGTCGGCAGTTCACTAGCACATAAACTGATTCTAAATTACAAAGAATCGTAAGGAAATATATTCTAAAATGTGAATATTTCGTTATTAAAATCTGTCCATCCATGGTCATGTGAACAAATCGTGTACAGCAATATAAACTATGAATTCGATGTCTAAATATTTTATTGCAGATTTGTAATTATTAACTATTTCAGAAGCAGAGAAAAAGATTATTTATTATATAGCTAATAAATAGTCTCTAATGAAATACTAGCAAAAGTCCAGAGAATTTTAGCTTTTAATATCTTGACGTTTTATTGAGCGCTGAGTTTGCGTTACGGATACGAGTATGCTCGAAAAATTCCGAATACGAGCGTTCAATATCGAACGCCCCGTTGTAAACAAAAAATGTCGTCTGGTCAAATTCTCAGAGACAAAAAAAAAAAAAAGAAAGAAATGAAGTGACATCAAGGTAAGATCTGTTTGTTTTTACACAAAAATGAAATTATTTACTGCAAATTTAGTACGTATTAGACCCATTAAAAGCTAAGTAAACAAATCATATCGCTCAGTAGGGTCATGGAATGATGCAATATTGAACGCTTACATGACAGACGTTAATTTGAATACCGATACTAAAAAAATCATGAATTTGAGTTTTTTTAGTTGGAATAATTATTATAAATTATGTGGAAATGTTTTAGCTATACAATAAAGGAGTTATTGATCTTATATTGGTGAATATTGGCACTCGTTGGCTGTTCAAATGCACTCGCAAGCTCGTGCATTTGAACAGCCAACTCGTGCCAATATTCACCAATATACGAGGGCTGTTCGGAAATTATTGAGACAATTACATTTACTCAATAGAGGACGGAGATAATTTCATGAAAATTCATCAACATTTTATATAGAACGAATAAAACACTTGTGCAAAATTTCGAATTCCTATGATAATAAGAAAAGTTTCGGTGGAATGATAAACATGCTTATGTCTATCGACCCGGAGCAGCATCGCTACGTCATTTAACGTCACGTCACCCGGAGAGGGTTTCGCATGTAAAATGATCGAGAAGCGTTTAATACTTTTCCTTTTTTGTAATTACATATAACAGTACAAAAATCAAACAGTCTCTTTTCTTAAACTATTCCTTAAAAAATGTATGCTATTGCTAACCGAGTGTAAAAATTTCATTTGTGGGAAAAGATGACTTAAAATCATGCAGTGCCGATTTATGCAACGCGGTTCAACGATATTAATACCGTACGTAATATCTGATGGTCGTTCGGAGCTTTTGATTTTACTCTGGTTGAATTAATTGTAAAAAAAAAATGTATACCAATGAAATTAAAAAACCCTAACACGTTATTTTTTTCTCGTTTTTATTGTTTTAGCAGGTCGTTGAGTTTTGAAAAGAGTTCTACATTGCGCTACACAAAATTTTAGGTATGCTGGCTGCTCCGCCCTTGACGTCAAAATCCATTTGTTTCGTTCTTAGCAGATTTCTCTACCGCGCTTAATTTTTTAATGATCTTCGTATTCCCGATGAAAATTCGAACAAAGTTGCACAATATGAATAAGAAATAAAGCTAAAAAATTATACACATAAACAGAATTATTTTCGCTCTTATTATGTGTTCACGACGTTGGTGTTACATATTTTCAATATCTGATATCGAGACTGCTCCGGGTACCCCTACTGATGACGCATTTATATACCACTGTACAGAAAATATTTAATATTTATAAAATATTGTTTGTTTTTATTAATTCTCAGTGTATGTCAAATGTATATGCAAATTTTCACCAAAAGACGTTCATTAGAAAGCAAAATATACACAATGTCTCAATAATTTTCGAACAGCCCTCGTTGAAGTTGTTCATAATTTGCTATGGAAGAATTTTTTATAATCTATGATTAAAGCTAAATTGCATTACTGTAATCCTGTACAATAATGATTTCTTAGATAATACAGTAACTACACATATTTGAAAATACAGAAGTCTTTTTAAGAAACCAGTTTAATAACTAAAACAATTTGATAATTCAATTTAGTCTGATTGAACATAAAGGTTTGAATTACATACAAATCTATCATAATAGCACATTTTAATGGCAAAATAAAATTCTCAAAAAATGCAGCTCATATTGCTTTAAACTACACGTACGTGTATCCTCCGACCTTAATCTACATTGTTGAAGCTTTTCAACAAAATGAGATAAACAATACATTTTACAGTCCATATATATCGTCATCTTTGAAAACGTTAACACAATAACTGCAAGCATGACCTTGCCACCTTTTCATTTGATTTTAATTATTTTTTTTTTTTTACTAACTTAAGATATGGAAAAGGCGTTGGAAAAACAAGCAGATTGACCAGCCATTTTTCAGAAAAAAGATCAAAGAAATTGAAAGTATGTTTATTATTAATTATAATACATTTTTTAAACAAGGTTTGCTCGTTGAGATTTTTTTATGCATTTTGACATCCATCTGAATGAATTTAGTTCGAGTTTTAGTGTATCCATCTTTACCCATTTTCCTGTTCATTTCAGGTAACTTTGGTTCCAGTATTGGCGCTCTATTTGTGTTTACCCGTTGGGTTTTGATGACGAATCTGGTGCTCTCTTTTTTCTGGCTTTGTCTAGTTGTGGTTCCCATGGCTATAACTTTCCCGTATGCCAATGTTACTCATGGATTTACTCTAAGAAACTTAATTGATGGCCAGGTAGTGTAAAATGATATACAATATATATGAATCTTTTATAAATTCGAAAATTACCTGCACATATATGGTTGTCTGTTATTGTAAAAACCTTTTTTTATGGTTAAACGATTTGGAAATATTTTGATGAGTTATGTTACACTGCAAACATGATATCATTCAATATACGCATGTTTTCTCGATTTATCATGAAGTGAACGGTTTTGCTCTTTAAAACAACAAAAATATCCATATATAATTAAGATTTTGGTCAGAATTTTAGGAACCGACGGAGTTTCCAAAATCTAATGTATCAACTAATTATTGAACGGAAGAATAAAATCCAGTCTCTAACTCTGTATATAATTTATGTAGTTTTAATTCATTGACCTGGAAAAAAATTCTCATGGCTTGAAGTACTTTTTTCAGGGAGTGTTAGGGGAGGTTTGGGTGTTCTATGGAGGATACAAACCCTGGACCTTGGGTGACAACTATTACCTGGCCCTGGCATACCTATCTCTCATCATCATAACCTACTTTGGAACTCTCTTTGTTATATTGAAAAGGTACATCATTTTGTTAAATATTAACATCGAAAAAAGGCAAACAAAGGGCAAACAAACACTAATACCCCTATATGGCAGCTTAGGGCAAAGGTATAGTTTCTCAAATGCAAGTCAAACCCCATCTTCAAGATATAAAATAAAATTTGGATTGAAAGAACTAATTGCCTAAAGTGTGTTATCACAAGAAATACACATGAGATTTATGAAAGCCCTTGCACCAATCACTCAAAAAGGTATGCCTTAAATCAAAGCTTTTCAAAGTAACATAGGTCAAACACAACGGTCAAGATCAAAGGGTCAAATTGTTGGTATCTAAGGAAAGAAATACACTTGTGAAATAAGAAAGACTTAGTACTAACAAAAGTTGTTTTTTTTCAAAAGTTG